TATTCAAAGGGCGAGAACAAATTTAATGAGCTGGGGCCGTGTAATTAAGTCTGCTTTTTCATATAAGTAATATGTTCGTTTTTTCAACTGAGTAAATGTTTGTTTTATTATATTTGATTTCTTTACCAAAATGTACAAAAATAAAGCTAACATTCATTCAACACCGATTTAGAAGGTAATAGGTTGAAATGTATATGTAGGTGTTTTGGATGACTTTAGTGCGCTGATACGCTTTGGTGCTGTACATTATATTTATGAGTATCATACACTCATTTTGCTAATAATACTAGCTACTTACACATATCTCAAGAGGGAAAGAAAACTATCAATTTCAATAAACATAGTATTTGTAATGACATCTTACATACACTTGATAAAAATATTATAGAAAATCTTAAAATTTGAATTTCTTAATCCCTTTTTAAACAAATTATTTACATTAAGATTTTCTAAGTTATAACTTGATATACTCATGTTAAAATCAAATTATCTAAAATTATTTTTGCGAATTGAAATTAAATTTTCGAAAATAAAATTATGAACCCAAAACCAAATCACGAAAAAAAATTAAAAGTAAAATTTATTTTTACTTCATTTCTAGAGAAAATATATTCTTATAGTAACCCAAAAACGTAGAAAGCAAAAGATTAGCAATAAATTTTCCCTTCCAAAACTATAAAAAAAAATAATTGCTTTAAATGAAACCATTTCAAACACCTCGTTAATAATTTTAATTGTTTCTATAATTTTCTGACAATGTTAGAAATATGTTGAGCAATTGAAATGCAATAACAAATATTTTGTATGCAGACAAACACATAGATTTACGTATATCCTAAGAAAATATTTAAAAGGGAAATTTTTACATATGACATGGTATTTTTAATGTTAACAAAGGGTTGTCCAAATATATGCAATAATATTAAAGAACCATTGAAGAAAGAAAAAAAATCTTAATGTTGCTTTTTAAAACGCTGTTTTTTATCCGTTATACCGTCATAATTTAAAATGCCGTTAAATCGAAAATATTATTAATCGAAGTCTCTAGGTTCTTTTTGGTTCCCTGACATCTCATCATACGAGACATTTCATCATTGTAACATTTCATCATTATAGCAATTCATCATATTTTTATTTAAAATTTTTTTTCTTTTATATTGATTAGAAATTATGCAAATTTAATTTAAATTTCAAAAATGTCAAACTTCTATATTGCTACATCCTGTCTTATGATTATTTTCTTTTCAATTCGTAAGTATTAGATTGCATGTACGTACATACAAAAAACATTATGCATTAATATTTTTATATGTTATTCTCTGACAACTATAAATTTATTTATGGAAAATCTTTAAAATTAATGGTTAACTGAGGAAAATTAAAAAGCACTTAAATATTTCTGTGATGTCGATTTGACATCAATACGATTATTCAAATCATGCAATACTTAAATGTATCTATATACATATATGTATATGTACATATATATACATGTAAATTAAAAACTATTTTAATACCATACACGGTTGATTCATATGGCGCTTTACATTTTTGATTTATTTCACTAAAAAGAAAACATCAATAAAATTTTAATTAATTAATTACTATTTAATTGTTCAAGAGCTATTTACTGTTATACATAGTTCGATTAAAACAAAATGCAAAACTTATACTTATTGTAAGTAAATAATTTGTTGTAAGAAACTAACTTCAAAATTCCTTTTACACTTTTAATAAAGAAATATTTATATACATATGTACTCAATTTTTACTTTGACAGAATGCATACAAATAATACATATATACATAAATTTTCATTTCAGGCTCACTTCCTTATTTAAAAGCTTGTAAAACTGTGCTTCTACTTGCACAAAACGTTCATTATCATATTACATTTATTATCGTCTACATTCATCTTTGATAGAAATCATTAAGATAAAGATCTCGAATTTCGTGCCAATATAGATCGTGTTATTATTTAAGAACAAAATATTTCTACACACAAAATCCTAATATTATCCTGTTTTTATAATTTCCAAATATAGAGAGATGAGTATGTTAATGTATCTGTGTTATCTATAACACCAAATACATACATACGTATACTTATATAATTTTCACCATAAAGGGTTCCATTCTTTTGTCTTTCAAAACGAAAAAAATCTAAGGTGAAAATTTTTAAAAATGTTTAATTTTCATTATACCTTTTGGGACATGCGATTCATGAGAAGCACTTTTTTTCGACAAGAGAAAACTCTTTTATTAAGAATATAATAGGTATGTTTACTTGTGTTCACACAACTCTATTATGAACTAAAATGAGTGCTTTAACTATTTTAAATTTCTCCGAGATAAATTAATAAGATCAATGCATGTATGTCCTTAACATTATGCACGTATGTATGTATGATATGTACATATGTTTTTAACATTTGAAGCAAAATAAACGAATACTTGTAAATTCTTCGTATTCTAAAATTCTACTTTCAAAATTACAGTCAAAATTTATAAAATGTATGTTTTACCTGTACATGCATTAACATTTTAAAAAATTCGTCATAAAACCCTTATAAAGTTTCACGTACAGCTTCATTTAGATAAATATGAAGCAGCTATCATGTACATTCAAATACTGTAATCACAATATGAATAATAATAATATTTGTACGTTCTTTTGATAAAGCAATGTGTTGAATATCATGCCACTGTGACAAAAATCAACAACTCAAAACAAAAGTTCTGCTGTCTTCAAGTGAGTACTCCTTCAAGTGGCTTAATAATATTACATTGAAGATATATTAATAATATTTTTAAATATTTGAATACGCATCATATTAAAATTATTTGTTGTTCTACTTGATTCTTCATAGATAATTTAGAGTATACCTTAAATTTGTATTACAAGTGGATCAGGTTAATTGATGAACATTTTTTTTCCTCCTTTCTCTTCAAATATAAATTTAAGCCATTTAATTTTTTCAGAATTCCTTTACTTCTTCAGAAACTACAATAATGTGTAGATTTATCTAAAAATATAGTATTATTTTATAATATGGAATGATTCAATTGTTTTCAGTATCTTTGTTTTATTTTTTATGGTTAATTGAAATACAAACCTTGCATAGTGAACATATTCTTAATGTAAATATTTATATTCAAAATTGTATCTTTTCCTGTTAAATTGATGTGCTATTTAAAACAAATTATATATACATACATAGATATCGGCGAGGTGCTAACTCTCAGATATAATTCTTCTTTAATTTCTTTACAAGTCATTTAGAAGAAAAAAAATCCTATGGTAAATTAATCCTATTTTACCGTTCACAATTTTCATATTATGTAGTGTAAACAAAAAATTTTTATGTACATATATATATATATATATATACAAACATAAATATACGTATGTGCTATATAAAAATACAAGAGCCTAAAAATAATTTGTACAGCACTTTCTACGTACATTAATTTGTGTTTGTATGCATTACAATACAATTAGTAAGCCGAAAATTGGAAAATTTAAAGCAAAAAAACAACTCTTTAGCAAAATGAACATGTATGTTCATTGCTATATATTGTAGAAATATTATATATAAAAACATTCTGATCATTTCAATTTGCAACCGCATACTACCATATATAACTTTAATTTAAACAATAGCTGAACTGAAAAATTCAGAACTACAGCGGCTCAGCAAAATAAATTACTTCGCATATAATGTCAAACACACAAGGAAATAGACGATGACAAAAACAATTTCATTATCGCCAACGTTAAAATGAAAATTTAGACTATTCCACTGTCGGTGGCTAAATTCGCGGCTGTAATTTAACTTGAAAATTGATTTATATGACGTATAAAATAAATGTTACTTACTTTCTCACTTTACCTCGTAGTAAAAACGGCTGGTGTAAAAGTTTACTCGAATGAAAATGAATACATATATCTTACTTTATTTTAGTTATGATACTATTCACAATCAATACAATGTATTGTTTTGCATTTTTTTAAAGTCTTTTCGCATACTATTCTTAGCTGCCGGTTACATATCAGACTGAATCTTAAATTTAAATTTAATCCGATCCAAATCTGACATAATCGAAGTCTGGCATCAGATTAATCGGCTAAATACAGAGAACTATTCAATTATCATCAGATTTTCTATAAATTTGTTAAAATTTGCTGAATCTGGTTTTTTTTTATATTTAGAATAATTTGTAGATTTTCTGGTGTATTTCTGTAATTTGCATTTTATTTTTAGGATTCTACGAATATTACGTCAGTCTGTTATACGAAAGTTTTTGCATGCAGTCTGGGATAATACTTTTTACACAAAAATGAGAGAAAATGATGACGTTTTCTTTTTCTCAATGTTTAAATTTTTGTAAAGTAAAATTTAGCTTTTTAGAAACTTTTAAAATCTTACAGCTGTTGAATCATAAGATATGCTTCTTGGTTATGTCAGAAGGTTTTGTTTTTGAAAAAAAAATTTTCATCAACAATAACTTTTTTTTCAAAACTTTTCAATTAAAAATAAAATTAACAAAATGGATTCACAAATGATTTTTCTAAGTTTCAAACTTTTATAATCCAAAATCAAAATTTTCGGTTTTTGGTGTAACCAAAAAATATTTGTTTGTTCTTGACAAGTACTTTGAAATTTGACGTTTATCACATATTTATAAAGTTTTTAACAGTTTTTTCCGATTGGTTAATTTTTTTTAAATAAGAATTAGTTTTCTTTTGACATAAATTTTGTCGAGAAAATATATTTTAGACATAAAGCATAAAATAATGCTTATATATATAAACTGTAAAAATTCGTTATTTGTTTATAGGCAACACTATTTCTGACAAATAAAATTCACAATAATATATAATATGACTTTTGTAGACAATCTCTAGTAAATAAAAAAAAGTCTCCATGATATACTTGTTGTATTGTAGTTTTCTATTTTCTTCTAAATTTCTTTTAGTTTATTCGATGCTGCCGCGAGTCGTGAATGATTCACGTTGTAACGAATTTATATTTAATTAATTTTGATGTTTTTATAACTAATTATTTATTTAAAAACTATTTATTCAATAAATCAAACCCAATTTATCATCATTTATTTATTATTGAATAGTATAGTGTTTTAAGTATTCAAAAAGTATATCGGAAAATTAAAATGGGTTGTGCCGTGAGTACAGCAAGAGATAAGGAAGCTATAGAGCGATCAAAAGAAATCGACAGGGCATTACGTACAGATGGAGAAAAGTTTACAAAAATGGTGAAACTACTTTTATTGGGTGCGTTTCATATATCTTAAAATGACAAAATACAATGTTTTTTAAAGTTATAAACCAAAATTAATGTAAATGCATATATTCAGATACTTTTGAAATTCATTTTAATATAAAAAAGAGTTGTGGTTTCTGGGAAAACATGAGAACATCAATAGAGTTGCCACTATATTGCAGTCTTTTTTTTTTACAAAAAGAGAAATTTCGTTAAATTAGAAGCATCTGTTGCTTCTTTAGGCAATACATTTTTTAAAATGTGAATTGATTAATTTAAAAAACGAAACATGTAATAGCACTAAAAACAAAAAGACTGCAAATATAATTCTAAGAACTGAAGAAAAAGAAATACTTAATCAGTAAATTCTAATTAAAATTATATTGAAATGATAGATATGTAGACTCGTATGCAGGCATCTTTATAGAAACATGGCTGTACCGACCTACCTTTTTAAGCGAATCAAAATTCTAATATAAATAATCCAGATTGTACTTATCAAATTAGTGTTACATATAAAATTATGAACCCAAAGATAGTTCAAGTGATTTATTTTTTAGATGCAATTTATTATTTAAAATTATTTTTTGAATTAATATGCTAAATGCTAAACTTTTTTCGAACCAAGTCAATAGCATAATTATATGTATATTGGTTTTGTACCTACATAATACACATACATATTACTATAATATATGTTGATAAGACTGTTGAGTGTTGATTAATAAATTAAATAAAATATACTAGCTATACCTATTTACCTGTATGTACCTTTGAATTTTCATTATTGGTAGCAAACCCAAACAAACTATGCACATATGTACCTACATTGAATCACTTCAAAATTAGTGAAAATGAATAAAATTTTTCACTTAAAAGTAATAAATATTAAATATAGATGTAGGTATATAAAAATAATGTGAATAAAAATCAAACATGAGAAAATATTTTTTTATAAAAAAATATGATTCAGGAAAATATTTCCATTGTCTTTCATCTCTAGAGAAATTAACTGGAAATGACTTACCAAAGAAAATATTAAATAAGTATCGGTAAAAAATAATTTTACTTCTTTTTTACTTTTTTCATTTATAAATGGTAATGAAAGCTTTAATTGACATATTTTTTTTATTAGAAAACAATTTGATTGTGTACCTGTATATTTATATTATTTTCATGTACATATATATGTCTACACATATTAAAGGGGAAGGGGATCATTGGTAGGGTTATTTCATTATTGCAATTAAGTATATTTTTTGTTTATGATAATTTTTTTTTTTAATGTTTAGGTATGAAAAATAGGCCTAGAAGTTGCAAAAACGTTTAGATTTCTACAATAATTTTTTTTTTATTTTGAAATAAATATTTAAAGTTCATTGATAACATTATTATAGACAATCTTTTCTATGCATGTCTTAAAAAAGATAGATAGATTCATAAAATGTGGGTAGGTATGAATTTTTTGAAACACCATTTAAATGGACATATTAAATATAACATAACATGTACATCAATAGCTTATATAAAAATTAAGACTAAGTAAGTTTCGTAACTTGAAACAAGTAGAAATTTTGGTAGAGTAATTTACTTATCGTTTCAAAAACTAATTTTCTTATTATAAAGAAAGGTTTCGTAATGTAATAGTCTCATATAGTCCGGCATGTAATATTATTCTACAATAAGTAAACAAAGTTTGTTAGTTATCAGACCTATTAGTTATATTTAGGTACTGAATCTTATCTAACATTTTTCAATAAATAGATAACACCATTAATACTATGAACAGGTAGAAAAAAACTTACCTGCACACTTTGCAGTATTACATTGCAAAAGATCATTACAAATGTTACAAAAAATCGTCACTTATTTATTGACTCACAATTCTTCACAATTAGGATCCGATGCAAGGTTTGGAACCACACTTTTCTTTATTTTTCGATTATTTGAGAATTATTCAAAATATTTTAAATTAAAAGAAGAAAATATGCAAATAACTTTTACAGAACAATTTTGAGAACTATATTGGGGCATATACCTATGTACCATTCAATTGGAATATATTAAAATATGAGTACATATATATAAAATACTTCATTTAAATTATTTCAAATAAAATTTAATTGAATAAAAGTTTATTTTCATTGAGAAAAACTTCGTAGTAAGAATAAAATAAAAGTAATTGTAGAATAATTGTAGTCTTTAATACATGACTCACAAAAACATACGTAGAAAAACAATAAATTTAGTATTTATATTCAGTACAAAATTAGTCATTGTAATTTAATTACACTCACATAAATGTATGTAGATCTCTCAATTTCATTGTTTTTGTTTGTTAGGTTGTTCATAAAATAATGAACGAAATGTTTAAATTTTAATAAATTATTCATTTCATTGGCAATTCTCTTAATATTTTAACTCAATTTGTTTAAAGTTATATTATATTACTATAGTAATTTTTTGTAATAGCAATTTCTGATAATTTTAAAATCAATACAAAAAATTTTAAATGACGCAGGTGCTGGTGAGTCTGGCAAATCAACAATAGTTAAGCAAATGAAAATTATTCATGAGACTGGGTATTCTCAAGAAGAATGTGAACAATATCGTCCAGTTGTATATAGCAATACAATACAAAGTTTAATGGCAATTATTCGTGCAATGGGACAATTAAGAATCGACTTTGCAGATCCTTCTAAAACAGTAAAATTGTTTTATTTTAATTTTGAAAAGATTATATGAAAATAAGGAAAAAATTTAATTACTTATTTCAATAGGACATTGCTCGACAATTTTTTACATATGCCTCAGCAGCTGAAGAAGGAGTTTTAATGCCTGAATTGGTACAATTAATGAAGAAATTGTGGGCGGACCCAGGTGTACAACAATGTTTTGCAAGATCGCGAGAATATCAATTAAATGATTCAGCTGCCTATTATTTAAATTCGTTAGATAGAATATCACATCCAACCTATATTCCAACACAGCAAGATGTATTGCGAACGCGTGTCAAAACAACTGGAATTGTTGAAACACATTTTAGCTTTAAAGGTTTACAATTTAAGTAAGTTACAATCCTAAATTTGCATTATTTTTCAAACTACTTACATACATATATTTGAAAGTCACCGATTTTATTGAATTTAAAATTTTAGAATGTTTGATGTTGGAGGTCAAAGATCAGAAAGAAAAAAATGGATTCATTGTTTTGAAGGAGTTACCGCAATAATTTTTTGCGTTGCTTTATCAGGTTTGCTTCCAAAAAACTCTTATAATTGAAGCTTTACATAATTTGGGTTATTTCATTTAGGGTATGATTTAGTATTAGCGGAAGATGAGGAAATGAATCGTATGATTGAATCGATGAAATTGTTTGATTCTATTTGTAACTCGAAATGGTTTGTGGAAACATCAATAATTTTATTTTTAAATAAGAAAGATCTTTTTGCTGAAAAAATTCAAAGATCTCCCCTAACTATATGCTTTCCAGAATATGCAGGTATATTTCAAATAAAAAAAGGAAATACTTAAGTTTTAATAAATAAAACCTATTTTAGGTCCAAATACCTACGAAGATGCAGCTCAATATATACGTATGAAATTTGAAAACTTAAATAAGAAAAAAGACCAAAAAGAAATATATACGCATCTGACATGTGCCACAGATACCTCAAATATTCAATTTGTATTTGATGCCGTCACAGATGTTATTATTAAGCAAAATCTTAAAGATTGTGCATTACTTTAAATGGAAATTATTTACAAATCGTATTTGAATTAAATTGCACACAACTTTTATATTAAAAAAAACGAACAAACTAAAACAATGAAAGCAAATATTAAAATATTTTATTTATGTGGAAAAAATATTAATTTACTGTCTAAGTAATATTTAACATTTGTTTCAAACAACAAAAAATTAATTTTTGAGCTAAATTTTTTTTTTTATTAAAACTACTAGACAGCAATATACTCGAGTCATCAATATTTGCAATGATAAATAATAAAATTCGTAATTAAATGATATGTTTAAATAGAATATAAAAATAGTGAAATATATTGATGTCCGAATATTGTTAGTTACATAATTTTTAATTGTTTCACTAATTTTAAAAATTAATTTTTCTTTTATAAAATTTTGAAGTTATTACTTTATGTTCATAACTTTCCAAAAACTTGCGTCACGTTTATTGGTCGTTCTTTAAAGAAAACAAATTTAAACTGAGCTTTATTCTTATATTAAGAAAATAAATGTGTATTGTTGAAATTATGATGTTAGTCTTTCCCACAAAATATATTCTTTATATTGGTTGTATTTAATAAAAAAAACTTTCATTAAGTTTTTTAATACGCACAAAATTACTTATACTCAAATGTTTTGTATTAAAACTTAGTTAAATTACTAAAACTAAATTTTTAATAAAAAAAATGAAGTTTACTAAAAATAGTGAAGTTACATATTAGAAAAAATGCATAACGTACAGAATATTTGTCATGGTGAAACTAGGACTCTTTCATAAATCATTTATTTTTTTTTAATATCGCAATTTTTGCATATGTATAAGGTATTAAAAACTTGCTGAAAGCTCGCAACTTTTGCATCTCAAAATTTCATTTTTAAGCTTGTTGAAACAAGAAATTTGCTAATTTTTAATTTTAGAAATGGAATTATCAAATTTAAAATAGTTAGTTACTTTGCCAAAAAAAATGTGCGAAATAATTTGAAATAGTATTTTATACATATGTATATACAAAAAATTTTTACATGACAAACAAAAACCAATCAGAGAGTTCGAAAACTTCATAAAATTTCTTTTTTCATATAATATTAGAATAACTTTGTTTTTTTTTTTTTATACTTAAATAAACAATAATTAATTTATGAAGTTAGCACTTGAAAAACAATAATTAAAGTTGAAAATCCACTTTTGATACATTTAGGTTAACGCAAAAATTAACATTCAATTCATTCCAATTTTTGCACTGAATTTAAAATACATATTTTATATACATATTATAAATATTATTAAATATTTTTTTTATAAAAGATTTAGAATATTGCATTTAGAAATAAATTTTTTAACAAAAAAGAGCAAGTATTAATTTATTAAAGGTAAAGTAATGCAAATTTGAAAATGAATAAATAAGCCACCGACATAAAAGATAAAAATATTGAAAAACTAAAACAAAAGTTTTCTATTTTTTAAAAATAATACATTATAATTTTTATATAAAAAAAAAAACAATAAACGTCTACTTATAATCAGTGCATGTGATAAATTATTTTATCGACTAAAGATTTTAAATCTAACTAAAAAATAAAATTTAAGACTTATAAATATAAAGATTTTCGCCAATAAATATACAAATCTTCGCCAAATTCGGAAGTCACATTTTACAATATTCATTAAATAAAATAGAAATTATATCTAAACTATTAGTGAACTTTTTTTAACGCAATTTGATATATAAATAAATAATTTGAATTTTAAAAGTTTAAGAAATTGCTTTATTAATAAGATTCATACAATAAAAAAATTTATATTAAACATTTATATTTTAATGTTATTTAAGAAATAACGATTTATTTCCAGAATTTAATCATTCATGTCATTTATTTATCACTATTGCATTACTTAACTAATGACTTATATATTTTATAGAATTTAACTAATACATAAATTATATAACGATTATATGTTTATAAATAAAACAAACTATATGCCGACCACAAAAATGATATCATAGTAATTTTAATTACGTTAAAAAAATTTTGATAAAATTTTAAAAAATTGTTTAAATATACAAAATATTTTTATGTATTTTAAAAAAAAATGTGAATACATTCAATTACTTTTTGATGTATTATGTAACAAATATATATTTTTACATTAAGATATACGTAGTTATGATTATACTCACATATTGTATAATGCATATTATAAATGTATTTTAATAATATATAATATAATATAATATATATATAGAGAAAAAAATTATGGGTAAATTATTTTAAAATGTGAAAAATATAATTAATAAATGTATAAAAGTAATTTTAATAATTGTTACTAAAAAAATAAAAGAAACAAAATAAAAATTCATGTATAAAATTAAAATGTCTTCAAAATTTGTATTTTAGAATCTTTTTGTGTTGATTTATAGAAATAAACTGTAAACTATATATAACTTAATACAAACCATGTTCAATAAATTCAAACTGCAAAATCTACAAAAATAGCATGTTCGAAAATGGCAGTTATACCTAAAGTTCTAAAGCAATTTTTAAACTACTCTATTTGTATTCAAAAATGTTATAAATTAGAGCATATTAAAAAAATGTTGGATATTGAATAATTACTTGAGTATGTTACAAATATGGAAAAGTAAAATATTCAGTCTCTTCAAAACGAAATTTATGGGGAATAAAATTTTTGATATTATGATTGGCGAATTCGTGAGTAATACATAAGTGCTTTTTTTATTTAATATTATAGCATTTATAGTGATATAATGGAAAAACCTAAACTATCTGTAAAGTAAGTTCGTAAAGTTCCACAAATTACTGTAAAAAATATTGTTTAGAATTAATTTAAGCGTGGAAAAAACGAACCAAAAACAATTTGAGCATTTAATTAAATCAATGGAGAACGACCCCGACATTGCTAAAGGTATAGGAAAATTCAATTGTTTTTGCAAAAAACAAAAACAATGTACATGCATATGTGTAATGTTAACCTTATTATTTTCGGTAGATTTTTTGATGTCTTGTAGTAGCAACATTTTGGATCTGTTGAATGAAAACCTGAAAAAAAGTCAATTCGACTAGCCGACCATAATAAGGATAATAATATATAGAAAATGGATATATTCAAGATATAATTCAACCAATTGTTTTTATTTTCCCGAGCAGAAACTTTTTCATATTATCTACTGTTCATGTGTAGCCAATAACTAATTAACAGAGCATACTCATTTCAGGCGCTAATTAGCAAAGATTGTTACTCATCTGTTACAATTCGTTTTTCGAAATATCTTTTATTGCGATTCCTTCCTCATAATATTCCATTGAATATAAAACAAAAATACTATTTTTAATTTGCCATTTCTAAAATGTTTTAAGAGTTTCTTTAAGTACCGCTTATTGAAGGTAAAGCAAGTTCACTTGTTGGAAATACATATTGTTTATCTTTTAATTCATAAACATTTTCATTTCTAACATTGAAATGAAATATCAAATAATCTAGTTATAGCAAAGAAACCACATATAAAAAATTTGTTTTTAAAAACTACATTAATGTATACAATTTATTGTACATTATATTATTATGTATGCATTTATAATACAATCTAAACCACATGTGTCATTGTATATAACATTTGCAGTGCAAATGGTTTTTGATTCTTCACGATACACGATTGATTTGAAGCTTTTCATTCTTTATTTTTTAGTACAGATTTTGTCACAAAATTTTTGTTTTGCTTTATAAATCACAGATAGAGAATTTCATACTAACTAGCTACAAATAATGAAATAAGAAATGTTAAATTGTGGCGTTTTGACATCTTGCCGTATAAAGGTTTCACATTCCTCAATTGTGAATCCTCTTTTCATTCTCTACTAAGTTTGAAAATCAAAAAATTATATAATAATAAAAATAATAATAATAAATAAAAAGAAAAACCACATCAACAAAGAAAAATTTCTGACATATGTGCAAGGTAAAAATTGATCGCCACTTTTTTCCTATTTCTTTTTTCTACTCTAAAAATATTATTGACAAAGAAATAATTTTCAAGCAATATGAACGAATGCCATCTTTATGACAAAAAAAAGTGTTAACTCTGATATTTTTAATATGATGCATAATTAATCGTGCAAATCTTAATATTTACATGCATCTCACATGTGAATATAGTGAAGATAGTTATTTAAAGTAGTTTACATATATATACATTGTACTAATATAATTTGGTTACGTAGGAAAATTCATAATTTTCTTACTAATTTGTATGTATGCATGTACATAAGTATACCCCCACATGCATCCGTATGCAATGTATCCGACGTACGTACTATGAACTTTTCAAAATATGCCTTACTAATTTACATATTATGTAGATACATATTATGTACACAATAAAATTATTTACCTAATATACTCATATATGTATGTATGTATTGTATATCCGCAATTCCACTCTGATAATATTCTTAAGTTAAGAATCTTAACTTTATTTTTTATATGCAATTGCAAAATACAAACCACGCCAATACTTGCATTAATTTTTTTTTTTCAAATGTGCCAGCAAAACGAAACTACACACCTATATGTAAACATAATTAAGTGGCATTCAAAACCAATAACAACAACCAGCGTTCCCACTTGGATACAATTGTATCCATTTGGATACATTTTTGCTTTAAAATTTAGCTTGGATACAAAGATACTCAAATCTGCTAAAATGTCGAAATTGGCTACATTTTAAAATTTTGCTGAAATATGGATACATTTCTTTCTCGAACACTAAATAAATGTTAGAAAACTTTTAAAGTGTTGTAACTTTTAAGTGCATTATCTTCCAAAAAATGTTATTTGCTGACTAAATAAAATTTGCCCGTTTTCGTGCTGAATAGTTTTTACCGCATAGTTCAACAGCTACAGAACATATATTTTCTGACCTTAAATTTTAAAATGTAATAGAAATTGCGTGTGATTTCTAAAAGAATTTACTATAAATAACGAAACTTACATTGTTCAATAAAGCAAATTAATATTATTTATGAGTTTATTGGTATAAAATAAGGCGATTTAGTATAATAATTCTACTTTAGGAGGCTGGATACATTTTGGATACATTTTTTTCTTGAAATTGGATACATTTTGTTTTTATTGAGTGGGAACACTGACAACAACTCTGCGATTAATAAATTAATGTATGTATGTATTCTGCTACTGTATGCATGTACGAAAGAAATACGAAAAGATACAAAGTAAATTTTTTCATTAAACTTTAAAACTCACAGATAGTAGTAGAAGTAAATTGTATAAGAGAATTGTTAATGGTGATTTTAGTTATCGCTTCTCGGCCTTATGGCTAAGATCAAAGTGTAGTATCTGTTCTTATCAGCTTAACATCTGATAGACTTCAAAGAAGTCACAAATGTTAACCTGATTTTTGGAAATAGACGGAGTGCTAGGGGCTTGCTCCACCTCTGTCACGGGTTGGCCTGGTATTGCAGTACAGCCAGGATCGGCCCAAATAATTAATGCAAATTTAACATATAGTCTGAAGTTCAAGTGTTGTATGTACATTATTCAACTTGCACGTATATATATATATATATTTGTAACTTGTAATCACAGAAATACGCGCTTGTATATTTGTATACTTTTTAATACATATTAATTGTTTTGAGTTAGCCGTATACAAAAATTCTTAAATCTTGCTAAATGGCGGAATTAGGACTGACTAATTATTACTACCTACGTATTTGAATATTTTAATTATTGAGTTTAATGTTTAATCAAACAAAGAGACTTAGTTTATAATAATTTTAATTTAGGATAATTTTTTTTTACCGAGTGGAAAATTGACTTCAACAAAAGTTCAAACGAATGTTTAAGGATTTATTCCTCATGGGAAAGAATACACAAGAACACAACATATTAATCAATGGAAAAAAAATAAGTTTTTATTAAAATATGTATTTAACTTTTACATGTATGTATGTATGTATATAAATATTAATGCCTATACCAGTATCTGGGGTCTCCAAATTTGTTATAAACGGCGATTCAACGTGCAACCTTGCATAGTGGCATTGGAGCATCTCTCGCAATACAATTACAATTTTCATTTACATCTGGCTGCGCTTTTTTGTCTACAGGAGGACATTCAGCACGACGAATATCTTTTTTGGACCTTGAAGATTCTAACTCTTCTATACGCTCTTTTTTTCCACTTCCTAGTGGTCTTTTTATATCTATAGATGCTTTGCTGCTACTTCTGCGAGAAAGTGTTTCGTCAGCAGATGATACATTAAGAGGATCAATATATTTTGGCCAGAAATCCTACAACAATTACATAAGATTTTAGAACATTATGATCAATCTTAAACCCCATAGTTGATTAGTACGGTTTTTGACTTTAATTAGTACATTTTTATTTTAAGTAAAGTTGGTAATTAATGGTAAATATGAATTTTTTCAAACGGTACTAATGCAATATTATTAACTCAAAGAAATTCAAAAATTTCAATTTGCTGCTTACTTTCGGAATGTTCCAGACAACTATAGTCCCAGACATATCGCCTGAAATAAAAAATTTTCCACAAGGGCTGTAACTTATAGCAATTACTGCTGTTGCGTGACCATTTCCTTGACACAATGGAATTCCCTTTTGATAATCCCACAGCTTAAACGTAAATAAATTAATCGCTACTTTGAAAATTCAATGCTTATAAAATTAATACCTTGACAATAGAATCTGTAGAGCCTGCAACAAAATATTCGCCACTGGTATTTAAAGATAGACAGTTAATAGAAGTTGAGGATCCTTCTACTTCTCTAGCCAGACTGGCATCATAAACCTAACACAGATGAATAAAAATCTAAATTATATACCATCGAGTAACAATATATAATATTACCTCCCAATAACATATTCTATGATCCGTACCACTAGTCAAAATTTGAACGGCAGTTGGAAAATATAATGCACTCAAAAATTGAGTATTAGCATAAAATACATGCTTTCTGGTCATTCGACTAAAAAACATATTAATTTAGGATTTGTTCATCGAAAATTTCATGAATAGTTTTTGTTTACTTAATATCCCATATTACGCATGAACCATCTTGGGAAGCTGAGACAACTTCTGTATCAAATTTATTAAAATCTACTGTGGATATTGGAGCTGAATGTTCTTTTAAAACACCTATTAGACTTTGTCTAAATGGTTCAATTTTCCAAACCCTAACCTGTCCTTCTACGCCACCACTTATCATTATTCGACCATTTTGTGAAATAGTTATTGCAGTGCACCCTTAGTTTTCCATTAATAAGGAATTTATAATTGTATTGAAACTGAAAAAAAGAAAAAAAAAATTCACACCTCACCTTTGTTATGTGCGTTAGGTATAGCCCAAATCAATTTTCCTGTAATAGGAGTAAACGCACGCAATACTCCATCATTCCAAGCAGATAAGATGCTGTGTCCATCAGTAGTAAATTTAATTGCAGCACATGTAAAATTAAAAACAATAATTCGCAATAATTCTTGTAATCTGGCCGTTGACCATATTCGTATTGATTCGTAACCAGACGTAGCGAAAACTTGTGAAAATCCTTTTGGAAACTGAATATCATAAATTTGGGATTTATGGGAAGTTAATAGCAATTTAAATTCAAAAGTTTTTAAATTTAACATATACACTTCACTTTCTTCTGTCCCAATTAAAAATTTTTCGTGTCCTATCGGCGTTATGGATGAGATTGGAGAACTGACTGTATTTTTATAAAGCTAAAAGTAAATGTCATACAAAAATCTTCAATAAATTTTTTAAAAACTTACACTTTTTAAATTTGGCCACGTTGGTTCTTTATAATCTTTAAAGCACACATTTTTTCTCTCTTCTACTAATTCAACAGTACCATCTCCAGCGCCAATCAATAGTGTTGTCGGATTATCACTTTTGACGATGAAAATATCTCGTACCCCATTGAAGTATTTTTCACAGTCCTTATATTTAGGTTTGTTTTGATTGTGAACAGCATACGCTCCAATTAAAACTGGTACCTCACTTTTACTTGATGCATTGGTAGAATCAGAGCAATTTATTTTAACTTTTATTATATCACCGGTCATTGTCGATACATATAAGTTTTCGTCATTTTTATCAACTTTCATTGCGACGTAATTTCGTCTGATTTTTCCAACAGATACGTTTGTTACCGATAACTTCCTTTCATCAGGCTTTATAGTCCACATTCTAAAATGAACTAAAAAATAAAGTCATATACATAGTCATATACATAATCAATAATATGTACATAACGTGCATATTATATTTTGGCCTTACAAAATTAGAAATTAATACATGCCATACATACATACATATGTACCTATGTATATTTTAAAAGTCACATATGTATGTAATATGTTTGTATGAATAAATATACAATTGGTAGTCTACATACCTAGGTATTACTTTTATAATTACATAGTATAATTATTTAGTATGTGTTATCATAGACAAATTATTCTATTAGCTGACAATTTAAATGATCATTTTTCATTGCACAATAATAATTTGCGAAAATTTGGTGACAATAGGACAGACGGACACAGATATGGCTAAATCGACTCAGATCAAAACCAATGAAAACATATACTTGCGTCTATATCTCAGAACATTATTTCTTAGCGGTACGATCGAGGTGGCGAATTTACAATATGCTTCCAATATCGGTTTATACAAGTATGATAAGTAATTAATCAAATAAAAAGATAATGTTTACAATCATTGCCTAAATTTTATACTTATAATAATAAGTTATAAAATTCAATACCTCATACAAAAAAAATTCTAAATATGTAAACAAAATTACAACGGATCTATCGGTTTCTAGATCCCTTTGAAGGCAAAAGAATTAGGTACACCTGTAAGTATGATGCATAAGTACATCTGTAATTTTATATTCATACAATAAGTTAAATTTTCTCTAATAGTACTTACCATTACCAGCTGTTAAGAATATCGTACTCTTTTTGTGCAATCGAATAACAGTTGAAGGTGATCCCGCAACACTTTGCGAAGCAGGTGAACGACATATTGGTTTCCTTGAAAAAAAGTACGCATGTATTAAAAAAATTTTAAAATCCTTTAAACCATTTACATATATTCTAAAATTTTAATTTACAAATGTACACATATGTATTTAGCTACATATGTACGTATAGCATATGCATCTGCATATAAACATAGGTACATGATCTAAATCTTATAAAGATCTATGTATGTACACATGTATGTAGGTTCATTTAAATTTTGTACTCACATTGTTTTCAACTCATAAACAACGACCGTTCCATCATCTTGGCCACCGATACTTACAATGTATTTATCTTCAGCTGTAAATATGATGCCTTGAACTTTACCTTTATGTAAATCGTGTCGCGCCATTTCTTTTCGTTTTTCAAAATCCCATATAATAACAAAAGCGCGAAAACCCAACTGACCAGATTCTCCAGACGCTATATATTTCCCTCTATAATAGATATTGCTTTTCATTATAATTAATTCTTAAATTGTCTTATGTAAACGTTTACTTACGATGGTGATATATCCAATGTTGATATAGCATTTGAATGACCAACTAAAAACTCTTGCTTATAGCTTCCTAATTCTGATATGCTTATTTTACTCCCCAGAGGGTAAATAATATTTTTTCCATTTGGATGTGCTTTTAAGCCGAATTTAACAGATCCATCAAATCCAATAATTGCTCTTGGTGATAATATTTTAATTTCATCTTCGTTTGACATTTTGGTTTAATAAATTTTGTATAACTACTCTATTTTAAAATATGCGTATCATTTTTATTGGATAAAAAATTTAACATAAACTATTAAATACAACATACCATTTATGTAGAAAAATAAAAATTCTGTGTTATTTGAAATAATTTCAAAATGGAAATGACATAAAAATTATAAACTGAAACTCAGTATGTAAGAATAATTCTCGGTTGCTAAAACAAATTTAGTTGAATCAATAATTTTGTTTGAGCTCTGTAAGATTAACCGTATACAATATGTGCATTCAAACATATATACAAACCTTGCTTACCATTATTTACCAACAACAAAAGTTGTAGCATTCACACCTTAGGTGGAAAATGCAAATGGAAATCATATATACATATGTAACGTGTTTACTTTTACGTTTTTAATTTTACGCAGTAATTTAAGATTCTCTTTCTAGGTATTTGTAAATATCAGATCGCCCTTTGAGAAATTAAGTGGCGTATATGAAAAACTATAGTTTGGAGATATTTATATTCAATTTTTTTTATTGAAAAAAGATAGAAAACCTTATTTATTTATAAACGAAAAATATAATACATATGTATTTATTTCATTATAGAAACGTTACGTGATTTTTGTACCATTTTGCTATTATTGCACATAAGCCATTTTTGGTTTTGATTTTAAAAACCCTGATAAACTAGTAAAAGAAGAAATGTCAAAAATCGCACATATAGCATCAACAACGGCGAATTCAAGTTTTTTGATTCAAGCAGTTGTGTAGTAATTGAAGTTTTTGTATTTCAAATACAATTTTTAATAGTTAATAAATAAATGGTTATGTTGTTTGTACAATATACTCTATTATTTTTTATTTGTTTTGCAAATACCTTACAGCTATTTAACTGATTAGAAAACTATAATTAAAAACTGAAAGTAAAATTGATAACCTACAGTTTCGAGGGTTAGTTAAGTTTTATAAATAATTATTTTTCTTTTACTCTGAAGTCTTATATATCCGCCACTAGGCATTGAGTAATAATTAACAAACGAGGGGCAGCGCTGTTGGCACCGAGTCATATTGGGCACATTACCGTAAAAATATATGACAAAATATGAAACGATTTGTTTAATATGGGTAGTGCAATTAATGTGTTGAATAATAATTGAAAAGCGTTTTTTTTTATAGATTTCATTAAATAATTGAAGAAGTGTGTGTATATAAAATTTATATGTTTCAATTAAAAACTGAGCACTTAAGAATTGTCAATAATGTAGAGTCGAAATGTCTCGAACGCTAAACTAAGGCAACACTGATTCTAAAAGCAAAACAAAATACATATAAATAAACATAAAGTCTTTATCAATAACCTTATTTAGGTTATTTTAATTTTATTTAGAAAGAAGTTAATTTTTTGGCTTGTTTTATTTTTTCTCAAATAAAATGAACATATTAAGAACAGTCAATTTAATAGTTAATAAAAGTTTACCAAAAGACTTGGGTGCTAATCAGCTGAAGTTGAATGAAATCCTTAAAAGATGTTCTAGTTTTCGATCATCTAACAATGTTCGAGATATAAATGAATATCCTGAAGTAGAAATTTTAAAAAACCCACCCGAATGGAAATATGTAAATATGTTGTTGAAACAACCTGTAGTGCCTAAACCAACTTCAAAGGCGGAATACCCATCTGGTTGGACACCTGCAACTGCAAACCCTTCGAATGTAAAGTATTTTATTAATCGAACCAGAAATTATATGATCCCAGTGTACTTAAAAACGGCTTATCGTGGTCAACGTCGTCTTACTCTAATTAGAAAAATTGAAGGTGATATTTGGCTATTCGAAAAAGATATAAGGCAACACGTTGAATCCAATATTGGGAAAATTTGTGCGACACGCGTAAATGAATTATGTGGACAAATAACAATTTATGGTGACCATGTGAATTTAGTTAGAAGTTTTTTAATATCGAAAGGATTTTGAGTACCAGTAAAAAAGATTTTTAAATAAAAATGCTTTGTTAAATGATTTCCAACTTTTTTTAAAAAACTAAAATTTGATGCACATAAATCTGAATTCTTCACTCAATTGTAAGGAACAAAATTAAACTGAATATACTCGTACATAATCTACTATTAAAGCAGGTTTGTTGTCATCCCATGATTTTTTCCAATTTTTCTTGTCTTTATAAAACATTATTTCAGCCTTTATATCATTATTAGTCCATGGCTTTTTAATATCATCAGGGAAGTCCCCCATACCCCCGACTGATACTCCCAGAGAAATAACAAACTAAACAAAGCAAAAATAGATTACAATATGAAATTTTTCCGCAACATATACTTACTTCTTTGTCAAAAGGGGCCATTAAATTTCCTGCTGATGACCAATAGTTAACTCTTCCATCTTTTATATTACTTAAAATACTAGGCTTGCCTTGTATTTTATGCCATAATCCTTTTTCTATTGTTCCATACTTAATATCATCAACATACAACTCAATATTGTTTTCAGTCCATACTAGAGCATAAATATGAAAATCTTCTCCATAGTGCTTTTCTTGCATTTTAGTTTTCAAGAAATGTCTACCAAATTTTCGAGGCTCTAAAATAGCACCACCGTATAGGGTTCTCCCGTCCAAGTTTGTTGCTTGGCTTTTTAGGTCCAGTATTTGCCTATTACCACGAATGAATCCTACTCTTAATTGCCCAGAAGAATATTCTAGAGAATCTTTATTTGAATATTCATAATTTTTAGGTTCAAGAAGAAGCTCTAAAAAATATACATATAACTTTCTTTAATTTTTTTTTATAACATTTTTTTTTTGTAATAATGGACTCCAAGTTACTTACGTGGTATTATCCAATCACCGATAGGCATTTTAGCTCTAATTTCAATTTTTCCATACAAAAAAGAAAATGAACTCAATAGTTTTGCTGACACGACGGGGGGATAAATTTGCCAAAAGCTATTTTTGCGATCACATTGATCACTATCTCTAGGTGCAGTACATTTAGCAAATGCTATCGTATTATTTATATCTCTTATCTCGCTTTCACTATATGGTGTTGTAAGCAAAATATTTAAATTGTTATCTTTTATAAATACGTTTTCCGCACGATCTTGGTAGGAAATAAAGGCTGAATCTTCAGCTGGAATTCTAATTTCACGTTTCCATTGGTTCCAATTTAAATTTTCGAATGTTTCTTCAAATATTATTTCTCCACTACAACTTACAGCTTTTCCACTTATTAAAGTATGTGATTTCTTACAAGGACCTTTTGGTATATCAATTTTATCTGCTGCAATTTGTTCGGCTAATGAGTCCTGTTGTATACTATTTATTTGATAATGATACCAATAATACAGAACATCATTTTCATTAAAAGTAACATCTTTGTTTGAATAAGTCCAAATATTATTTTTGGCATCCGGTTCCGTTACCTCGCCATAAAAATCTCCAAATTCGTTTGGTTTAATAAAACGGTTGATTGCACCATGAAATGCAAAAAATTTTAAACCTAATTTATCTGGAAATTTTTTACGTTAATTTTTTTCAATATCAAAATATAAAAATGCTTCTATAGGACTAAAACTCAATTAATTAATCATCAATTTTAAAACTTACTTGGTATAGATACTTCTAAGCCTATTCTTCCTTTTTTTAAATATCGAATTGTTGGTTTATCCCATAAATCTGGATTTTGGCCAAATGTTAAGGAAATGAAAAAAATTACAAGCAAAATGCATTTTATAATTATTATTTTGAACATATTGAGTATTCTTATGTGAGTATCAAAATTTTATCAATATAAATCTTCCTTTCAAAAAGAAAATTTTTTCATTCTTTTTATAAGCTCGGTTTCTTATCTGCCCATTTACAAAAATAATAAAAATAAAAATTTATATGCATAAAAACACACATACATATTCATTTATACATAACAGCTTAAAAGTTTTTAATAATAATTATAATGAAATATGGATCATTAGTTTTGAACCTACATATACATATGCACATATATATACCAACATACATATATTAAAATGTACAAATTTATTAAAAATTTTTAGTTTAAAAACGTTTAATTTTTCATATTTTGTACTTTCATCTTCATATACATATGTATATGTGCTTTATTTATAAAAGAAACAAATTTAAATGTTTAACTTAAAGATTCCTCTTTCCGAAATTTTTCAATTTCTTAAAAGTGCATAAAGAACTGTTATAAATATATGCAAACATGGATTTACAAATGAAATTAAGTGGAGCAATAATAACAGTCCAAACTTGGGTACCGTTTGATATTTCTACTTCAATGAACTCGATTTAGTTCATTTTTGAAATGACATAAAAGCATGTGAACTTAACACAATCAAATGTTAAAGCAGTATAAAAAGAAATGGGTGTATTTTGACATTTCTTTTTGGAACTGATAAAAACAAAAACGTACAATTTTGTTAAAATTGAATTTTCTAGTTTTAGTTTAAATTCCTTGAAGTTGTTATAAAGATGGAAAATATTGAAAAATTAAGTGGATACAATGAATTTAGAAATTATGCTGATAACATTAAATCTGGTAATGTAAATTTTTATTTTACTGGTTCGAAAAACGAATCTGGAGTTAGTTGGTGTCCTGATTGTGTAGAAGGTTCCTATATCATAATAATTACAAAAATTACATTTTTAAATATAAAATTTTTTAGCTCTACCACATGTTGAAGAGGCATTTGAAAAATATCAAAATAATTGCACTTTGATAAGTGTAGACGTTGGCGATCGGGCATACTGGAAAGATATGTCAAATCCATTTAGATTAGATAAGGACATTAAATTAATGGTAATTCCAACGTTAATTCGATGGAAAAAACCACAACGCTTAGAAGGTGATCAGTGTGCAAAAAAAGATTTGTTGCAAATGTTTTTTTCGGATGAAGAAGACTAAAAATAAAGTAACTCACTTTTTTATAATATAAATAAATTAGAAACTTTATTTCAATAACGTCCTTACTTAAAAAATCTCAATTACAAATGTTATCTTGCAACCTTTACCCATTTACATGATATTTGTTCATTTTCTAGGTCTTCTGATATATCTTTGCCTAATTTACATTTACCAATAATATCCACTTCGTCTAAATTTAAGGATTTTAAAAGATCGGGATTCTCTAGAATTTTCTCTATACCACACCAAGCTATCATGGCACCATTATCCCTACACAATGCTTTTGTGGGGCGAACAGTTTTAAACTGACGATATTTAAAGTTCAATTTCGGCAAAAAGGAATAGAAACTTAAATATGTACATACCTTGTAACTTAAAGCCATTTTTGATATGCTGTCAAATATAAAATCATTACAAGCTACACCACCAGATATTACTAAGTATTTAGAATTGGGAAATATGTTCCTTTTCTCACAAAATTCAATTGCTCTTTGTGTTCTATATGACAAGTGTCTTGTGCAAGCTTTTAAGAATGCTGCACAAAAATCTCTATAGTATGGTATAACTTCGTCTGGTTTTACTTCATATTCCTGCTCGATTTGTTTAATTATCCTGACTGCAGTGTTCTTTAAACCAGCAAAACTGAAATTGCAATCCTTTTTTCTGGCTAAAGGCAAAGGAAATTTGAAACGATCAGAATTTGTAGCTTCCTTTGCTGCTAATTCAATAGCGGCGCCTCCATTCATCCATTCGTATCTTTAAAAAACCAAATGAAAAGCATGTATTAAAATAAGTCTGAACAATTTAAAAAAGAAATTATTTTGTTGGTACTTTGGCAAATTTCTTAGTCTTAATCTTCTCGCAATTTTATCAAAAGCTTCACCGGGTGCATCATCTAATGTTTCTCCTAAAAATAAAAAGTCAAAGGCGTCTTTTACGACAACCAATTGGCAGTGTCCACCACTTATCAAAAGACATAAAAACGGAAACTGGATATCAGGATTGTGAATTCTTGCACATAACGCATGCGCTTCCATGTGGTGTATCGGGATCAAAGGTTTGTTGTGTAACCTACATAAGTACTTAGCATATCTAAGTCCAACTATCAAACTAAGTGGTAAGCCAGGACAATTGGTAACTGCTATTGCATCTAAATCTTCTATTGAAACGTCTATCGCAAGACAATCTCTTACAGCTTTTTCAATATTTTCTCTATGAAGATCTTGAGCTCTGGGAGGAATAATTCCTCCATATTTCAAATGAAGATTTTGTTGAGAATATAAGCTTTCAGAGATAATTTTCCTAGACGAGTCAACAATCGCTACTCCAGTATCATCACATGATGTTTCTATACCTAAAATTGTTATCTTTTTTTCTTTTGTAAAATTCATTCCATAATTTTTAAAATTTTGGATGCGACAATTATTAATGGAACGCAACACCTTAACCTTATCCATTATCTCGAATTTCGGATGATTTAGGTTCTTTTTTCAAATTAAGTAATGTTTAAAGTTTTTAATTTATGAACATATGTAGGTACCATTAATAGTTTATAATCACCTGCAACAAAATCACAAATTCAAAACAAACCAAAAAACTGAAGTATTTTTATATGTTTGTAAACATTGCAAATTGCAATACGTCAAATCTTGGCATTAAAAAATATCTAAAATATGTATTTCTGTCAGCCGTGCGTCAAATATTTTACCATATTTCCTCGACATAACAAGAATATTCTTATCGTACGTCAGCTATTGAAAACATTCCACCGAGACATCACAAAAGTACAAGTCTTAATTAAAATTGCGACAAATATTAAGATATACAAACTTAGAACCATAATTTTTGGTTATACTTACATAATTATGACATTCTGAAAATTTACATTGCCGAAGAAACGCATAAACTCTTTTACATAATGACAATCAAGAAACTAACAAAAAAAAAACTTGTGTTCTGTTAAATTTATGTATACTCACAAAGTTTTTAAATTTTAAAAGTTGGGCGTAATGATAAAAATAAAAATAAAGGACTTAGATTTTAAAAGCCCCCTATTTTACATAATATACATATGTATGTATGTTCAAAAAATTTTTGACAAAGGTCAGCACCAATTATAATGTTAATGTTTTATGCTGTTAACTGCATGGCATCATCACGTAACTTTCGCTAATTTTTCACAAAGATACCGTTCAATTTGGTTTTAAAACCGAAAAAAATTAATTGTATACATATTACTAATATATATTTTACACTATATGACCTACAATTAGTATTTGTAAGAACCAATAGATTACTTAAGTATCATCGTGAATTCTGAGTAAGAGCTACATTGGATTGATCGATAGTCTCCTCTTTTGTTATGTTTTATCTCAGTAGTTTTTTAATTTAATTAGGTATTGGCTATAATTTGTTTGGACTTTCAGTTCTTTTGAAAATCAATAGATGACCGAATAATAAATTAGAGTTTTTATTTTCTCTTCTCATATCTTCATTTAAAAAATCTATACTATCTTAAACATAAATAAGCACTATTAGTACCATTACTATCTACTTCATACATATATACAAATGTATGTATGCATATGTTTTAAAAATTGGTGTTCTAAAAATTATTAAAACAGTGAAGCAAAATTGCGTCGAAAATAAGAAATCACATTTAATATCTTCAAATATTTTACATACATTTTTTTTTTGACAAATATGATAAATAAATTTTACCTTATTATTACTTATCTTATTATTATATATTTGTATAATGACTCAATTATTTAAAAATTTTTGTTATAATACATAAAAAATTAACTACAAAAGTTATTAAATATGCATAGAAATATACCTACCCAAATTAAAATTTTTAATATTATTTTACACATTGTTATAAAAAAAATCAATTTTTAAATGCAATTTTGCCGCATTTTCAATATGATAATATAGTCTACAAATGGTTAAGATGAATTAAAATTAATTTTTGATACTGTTCTTGTTTTTAAAAAGAGTCTGATCTCAATTATCTTTAAATAAATGATAAAGATTGCTACATTTAACTTAATTTAAATTGAAATACAAATTGCAAATTATCATTGTTTTATTTTATTTTATATTGAATTGATTATGTTTTATTTTTTAATATATATATATTTTTAAACCTAGACATTATGTGTAAACTATTTTACGTTTATGCATGATGGCACTTAATTAAGATGGTTAATGATTCTTTTGGTTGGCTTCACTTTTTGCTTAACCTTAATTCAAATTTACACCTCAATTTTATGAGGTGTTTAATCATTTTTACTTTTACAATAATTGTTGATTGCATTGTTGATCAACAACATTTATCTTTTGTGTTTTTGCCATCATTCGGAATCAACTGGGACTCTTATATGTGTAATTAAGGTACTACTTTTTTATTTTTTTTTTTATTTTATTCCTAAGATATTATGACACTTTTCTGTATGCTTAAAAACTACGTATAAAAAATAGAGTTAAAATTTTATAAGAATGGGTGAAAATTTTTTGTATAATACATTGCACTATTAAGTGAGCTATAATAATAAATATGACCATTTTTAGAGCAAAATTTTTTAAAATTAAGATTACGTTATTAAATACGCTTCTATTTAAAAGATTTATGTATTACTTAATATGATTAAGAATAAACAAGAAATAGAATAAGTAAATATGTAAGATTAAATAAATTTAAATTGTATATAGATATTTTTAAAATATGGTTAAGATAAACAATTAGTTTATTTGAAATACTTAAATAGTACAAAAAATCTTTTTCTCACCCTTAAACGCTTTAAAATTAATATATTTAATATATATTTTATATATATGTATATATATTAATACATACTATACACGTCTAAAATATATATGTATAGTATATTATGTGAGCAAATAAACACTAGATAATTTTTAAAAATTACTTATGATATTAATTTTTAGATTTTTTTATAAAAGTATTTTAAAAATGTTATGTATACATAAGGCACTTAATCAGTCAGCGTGCTTTTTGAATGTCTTTTTTTTAGGCACATTTACTTTCAAAAAAACTTACTAATTATAATTCAAAATTTCTGATTTTAATTGATGTTTTGTAAATCAATACGCTAATTTTTTAATAATTTTACAATTAAATATACCAGCGACGTTCGCGGAAGAACTCTGATTTTTAATATATAAAATATTGCATTGTTTCCTTTAAAAATTCCTAAAATTTAACTTAAAAATATTTACAATTTGGATCTTAAGCTATAATAAAGCTTACAATTTTAATTTACTTGGTTTAAAATTCTTATTGGATGCACAAAAAATTTACCAATCGGAAAAAATATATTAAAATTAATAACATTGGTATAAAAAATTTTAACCTGCCGATTACAAATAATATTTTTAGTAATGCTAAATTACATATATATGTATATGTGTAAAGAATATACATATATCAACATCACTCTTCATTTTATTTATTTCCATATTGGATTAAAAACATATTTTAAATATCAATTTTTGTAGAGTTTCCACAACAGGAAAAATTAAAATATTACAAGGCACATTGAAATCAAAGCAATATGTATTATTTGATAAACGAATGGTTCACGTTACGCTTATAGCGCCGCTTTTATTTCCTGTGGCTTCATTTGATGAATTGTCAACGGATTTATGTATATGTTCAGAATTAACAACATTACTGGATGATTGCTTTTTGAAACTTTCTGTGGCAAATTGATTAGCTGCCAACAATGACTCTGACTGTGAAGTCATTGAATTAAAATAATGTCCCATGTGTGGGATATGTTGTGAAAATGCCATCCCTGATGGTTCAGATATCATTGGTGGAAAATTATTTTGAGAGGTTGTCGTATTTGAAGAAAAAGATTTATGCTGTCGCATAAATGTATTTATAGAAGTCTCAAGATGTGAAAAAGTAGAAAAGTTATCAGAAGACATTGTAGACGACGGAAAAATAGCCTGAGAATTAACAGCTCCAATATTCGACGGACCAGCTGACGGTGGCACAATCGATAAAGAAACAGCAGGATTTGGCGAAAAACATCGGGCATTGTCATTACGATTTGTTAATTGTTTTATATTTAAAGGATTATTTATGTCTCTAGGGTTGGCTCCTACAGGATTCCTTATTATAGATGATGGACTCGATATTGTCTTATCACTTTTCGGTGTTGAAGCATTTCCATAAGAATCTTCAAAAATGGGTGAGAACGACTTTATGGATGACATTGTTGAAGATACAGAAGATCCCAAAGACGAAAGTGAATTTAGCGAAGAACTCAACAAATTTTGGCTTTTACTGGTATCCTTTACATTATTGGTTATACATGCTTGAACATTAATTGGTGCTGAAGATTTTACTTCATTTTGAGATTTCAAAGATGTTATCGTCGGTAAAATTTTACTAATTAATGATTTATCGTCAACGGGTGAATTTGGTTCTCTCGTGACTTCATTATTCAAAGTTTCTTTTGGGGCTAAAATCGCATTGCTAGAACTGTTATTTATATTATCACTACACGCTTTTACTTTCGCTAAAATATTAGAATCATTATTTTTATCATTGGCACTAATAATATTATCAAATAATTGAGGCTCGTTCTCAATATTTTTCCTTGGCAGTGAATGAGTCATAAAATTGTTATTTGCTGACATTATATCTTTTTGGTGAAAAGTATTTTGCAGAAACTGATGATGAATCTGCTGAAAAAATCAAAGTATGAAAATTAGTAATTTAAAAAAGTTTATAAAGACGAAAGTTAATTTGCCTGATTAAATTCTCCTTGACAGCTGCTTGGAGGGGCCGGACTAGTTATTTGGTTAGAATGTGATGCAATTGATGTAGCAGGTGATTGAAGAGAAGATAAATTACTTAAACCGCCAGGGCTTGATAAAGATTGATTGAAAGATTCAGCATCATCCTCGGGAGTTTTTATGTCATCTGTACTACTGCAACTTCCTAAGTTATAAGTATCGCTATTGTTACCACCTTTCTGTCGAGTTCCATCTACCTCAGCATTGTTATTATCATTTTTTTGGGACTCTGTGTAAAAGATACATTTTTTCTTGCGTCGACATGGCTTGCACCATTTGCTTTGCTGATCTAAACCGAATCTTGCTCGACATTTTTTCATTGTGTTGGCTAACGAATCAGCTGGCTGTCTATCCTTTTTATGTTTTTTCTTTTTCGATACATAACCATAATTATCACGGGCGCTCCAGCCGGGATATAATTCCATATGCAATTGACGTTCTCTCCTTGCTTTTTCATAATATTTACTTTGCTCTTCTCGATTAAGTTCATGCCATTTCTGACCTAAAATTTTATTTATGGCAGCAGATTCTTTTAAAGTACATTCATTCACGACTTTCGCTCTCATTTCTTTCATGTACAACATAAACGCATTTAACGGTTTTTTTATATGTATTCTTTTCTTTTCAGCTGTTTCTTTTGCGTTTTGAATTTCTTTTGTATTTGAACTTTTATTTACATCTTTAGTTTCTTGTTGCGGTGCATTTCGATTCATATTAAATTTGTTATTAAAATTAGCTAAATTTTCTTGTCTAGCATTATTTGATGAAGATGGATGTTGATGGGTATTTATAACCAGACCTTCTGCACTGCTTGTATTATGATAAATATTTGGAGAAAATCTGAATGGAAAATCTGGACCCGAATATGGATTCTTAAAATTTGCCGTGGCATAAACCGTCGGTGTATGCCAGGACGGTCCAAGTTGCGGTGGAGAAATTTCTGGACTCAAAATAGGATAGGGATACGGACTAGCAGCAAAAAAGGGTCTTCCAGCTAAACCAATCATTTTGGGATCCAATTGATACGGCGGAATGCCGCAATGAGCAGGAGGAGGCGTTGTTAATGATGTGTCCGTATTACTATGACAAAAAAATTGTGGCAAACCCATTTTATTGCCAACTGATGCTCCATTAGTATATGAACCATAAGGTGGCATCAAATATCCCATATTGAAGTTTGGACTTGTTTGTTCTACTTTACTGAATACCGGAGTACTATTATCTGATTTAGTTGACTGAGACTTATTTTTCTTTTGGAATGATGCAAATTCACTTTCTGTTAAATCTATAAGACTTGATTTTTCCTCGTACAAGTTCTCAGAAGAGTTTTTTTCATCTTCGCGATCGCCTTCATCTTTGAAAACTTTAACTTCATCTGTGCTGCCCAAATCGTCACCACCGCTCGAAGTCCCATTGTGACTCATATCGACAACTTTATATATTTACAAATAATAATGCAAAATAATTATATTTCCATTTTGCAGAACTTAATTCAATTTAAAAAAAAATTTTTGATATTTTCTAACAAATTTAAAATTCAGTCATTTCTCACAAACTTTATATTGACGGGTGATGTTTGTTTAGACAAAAGGTTATTTTTACACCAACATTCCAAGCACTCTCCGATTATTTTAACGAATCTTAATTAATTCCAAAAACATATAAAGAATAAGCAAAGATTCTTTTATAAATATTTTTCGAAACGAAATAAAACACATTCAGTATTTTACACTAATTTTCAAATATATTGTTTATAAAAATTATCACAATCATAAATTACACAGATTTCTTAGCTTGATTTTTGACGTTCATAAAATTCCTCATGCGTCAAATAAAATCCCATTAAAACTATTTTATTCAGTGATGCACCATTTACATATATATCAATAGTATACAAGAGTACTATTGGAGCTGTATCGTAATTCACTTTTTTATTGTTTAAATTTCAGCATACATTTTTAAAACAATTTCGAGGAATTGTAATATAAAGGAGGATTTACGATAATTTTAATTTGAATTTAAATACCACAGCTGAGCAAAATTAAAGCTGCTCATATGCATGTACATATATATTGCGTATAGCAATCAAACAAAAAAGATTGTCGCAACAGAAAATATAAGCAAAATAAATGTAAAATTAAGAAAACTGTAATTTTAATTGTTTCGTTTTCATACATATGTATATATGTCTGTACGTACATATATGTCCACATAAAAATCTGGAATATTATATATTTTTTTAAACTTTTTATTTCCAATTATTAAGATATTGATCTTGTTGATTATAACGAATTCTAAATATGGATCAGAATCAATGTGAAATAGCATGACTGTCTGATAAGGAAAATTATTGCAAAATATCACTATTGTACTATGACAAATAGCTGTCAAAAAAAAGGACATTTTCATAAAAGTAAATAATATATTGAACAACATTCGCTCCAATTTTTTTGTTAAGAAGATACATACATAGATGATAGAGTGCGAAAATATCAAAAAAAAAAAATATTAAAGTTAAAAACATAGAAATGAAGTCTAAAAATTTAAAGCACGAATTGTTTAAAAACCCTGTAGCATCAAGTTTTTTAACTGAAATTTTAAAAAGAAGACTCAAAATGAGAATGAAATTAATTAAACATCGAAGAAATTTTGTGCGTAAACAATTACAGCAATCATTTCAATTATTTCAAAACTCAGTATTAATTTTGTTCAAAAGTCTCACGAAAGAGATTTTACAAATTGTCCTTCAAGACTTGAAGCTAAATAATGCTTCTAAGATCAGTGCAAAAATTCAGAAAAATTTAAACAATACAAACTTTATTATTGAAAATTTTGACGAAACAGACAAGGAAAAATTTTTAAATTATTACCACATTTCACCAAATTTGTTTCACGATATATGTGAAATATGGCCTCAGAAAAAAAGTCATGATATTTTAAAACAGTTTATTCGAAAAATTGCCAAAAACACACAAGATGATGAATTTTATTCAAAAAATTCACTCGAAATTTTAAAAAGGGAAGAGAATATTTGTTCTGACATAATAAAAAAATTTGGATACACTTATAGTCCAATGACGATTTATGAATGTGAAGAAGCAAAACAAAAATTCAATTCTTTTTGTGGTATAAAAATAAGTGGCATCTTGGTAGACTTTAAATTTAATTCAGAATCGGCAAAAAATTGCCGTATGTTTGCTATTTTAGATCACAGAAAAAGGTAAGATTTTTTAAAAAACTTAGTTACTCTTTTATTCTTTCATTGTAATATTTCAGATTTCGAAGCTTGTCTGCAAAAAAATTGCCGGCATTTTTTAAAGATATAGAGATCTCTTTGAAAAAAAATTCTAGTTATTATTTTAGTGACGTTTCAGATTCTCGTCACAAGGAATGTGTAATATATTGTGAAAACATTGGCAAAGAACCTTGCGAAAAGCTGGTTTCTTTTAAGCAAAATGCAGTAAATGATGTTTTTAAGCGATGGACATATTTAAATGGTGGAAGGTATTCCGAAAATGTACTTAAAACATGTATTATTTTGCACAATTTGTGCAAAAATAAAAGTATTTCTATGCCGCAAATGGAATAACCTAGAATTTAACCAAATTGAAACAGAAAATGAATTTTAAAAGTGCATGAAAAGTAAATAATATTCATATACATAAGTTTTTAAAGAAATTTATTTTAATGTTTTTAACCTAACATAGATAAAAGTCCTGCTGATCTCCTTCCTTCCCCTTCGACTTCTTTATAAATTGCTTCCGCCTTATAGGAATTGTCCAAAACCTTAACTATTTCATTACCAGTAAGAACAAATGCTTGAATATGGATATCAATTTCAGCTTCAGGTAGATTTAATTTAGCTGAATGATCACCAAATCCCAACTTTTTCAATCCATAAGTATCCTAAGTAATAACAATGCACATCATTAGTTAAAGAATGGAAATATTCCTCATTCAAAAAAAACCTACCTTTTTAATTGGACAATCATCAGGAATATTCCCAAAATTTTTTAAATGTGTAAACATTAATCCTGCTAATGGTGAAGCATTTTTAAATGCAAGTACTCTGCATATACTGTATGTTCCATTAAAACGCCCATAATATTTATGATTATCTTTATGTCTTACATATCCTTCAACATGAACATCGACATCTGCGATTTGCTTCATCACCTTAAACTGGAAGTTAAAACTCGGTTCCGTTTCATCAATCGATTCGGTATAATTCAGAATATTGTTATCACACCAAATATTAGATTCTTTAATAGTTAGACGAAGTCGTTTCTAAATCCAAAAAAAATTAAGATTATTGATAAAATGTGCATTGGTATACCTATATATTATACACATATCTAGTAAAATTAAGATGAAGACTAATTTATGTATATGTATAATGTGCAATTAAACTTTTCTTTTGTAAATTCTTAAAAAATCAAAGTACCTCAGCTTGAGTTTCCAAAACTAATATTATTACTACAGAACAAATGAAAAAAGAATTGAATGTGGCCATTGCCTCAAATAAATTTAGTTACTTGTTGAAATACCGAATTAAATATGAAAACTATAAGTTTCTGCCTAAATTTATATAGAAAAAAAGATGAAAATACTGGCATAGAATATTTATGTTACATCACAGCGGAACATCAAAAAATAAAACAATTACATGCTCCAATTGAATTAAAAAAACAATTAAATATAGTTTAGACAAGGATATCAATATTTTTGATTATTGCTTCAAATGTAATTAAAATCTCGTATATTGATAAAAAATTTTGGAAAACGTAGACTTATATCACATAATCATATTTTTATTATTATGATTAGTTTAAAAATTATCCAACGTTATTAAATTATTCAATGTTCAACCAGCATTATGACGTTCATTATTCGAACCTAATGCTTTCCTTTTTTCTGTAATTTAAAAAAATTTTATGTAACACAAATCTTCCTTTTTTTGTATTTTGTGTAGGTAATAAAATTTCGTAATAAGCTTTTAAACTAAGATTCTGAATGGAAGTTGAAGAATTGCATGATTTGGGTTTAACTTAAAGTAAAAAAAAACCGAAGCATGAATTTTTAGAAAACTTATGTATAAGCGGTTGGCTATGGTTGCATTCGTTGCTGCGAGAACCATTAAATATCACAAAATTTTTATGATGTTTCAAAAAAAAGTCAGCACAATAATAAAAAAGGCATTTTCGAACGGAAAAAGATTAAAGTTTTTGCAGTAACTGTGTTTGTAATAATAATTCTAATGCATTAATGTCACATAATTTGCAAAAATATAGATATACCCACTATATGTATGATTTTACCCAATGTATATATGTACGACAATTCCTTGCTATAAACTGAACGAAATATGTACATACATATCTTAATATTTTATAATTACTTACTAATATTGATGCCTCTCGAAGCCATGAAATATAAACCGATTTCTGAGAATGAACTACCTACCGTTATAGAACAATGAACACATTTAAAATTATACTCGTACATTCGTACAGATAATACCCATACGCAAATAAGTATGTGCGTGCGGGCAAGTATTGTATCGTTATACATTTACATACTCGCAAATTTTAAGAGTTCATAATAAATATGATCATGATTAAGTGAATTAATTAATTCAAAACAAAATTAATTATTTCTCAAATTGGGTTAGAATAAATAAATAAAAAGTTATCGAAAACTCAAAATACGTCCACATAAGTCATCAAACACTTAGTAATAAATAATTGAAGTTTTCAGTTTTACTACAATAATCATGGATTTATTATATCAATTTGTCGGACTAATTCTAATTGCTTTAGCAAGAGAAAGTTTTCAATGGGTAATTCTCATCATTATTTGCATATAATAACAAAATATATTATTTATGTTATAATTCCTATATCGTTATTGCATAAGAAATTTGTAAAATTTTTTGCTAATCTTTAATGTAACGTTAGATTTTGTACAATAATACAGTAAATAGTAATATATATTTATTCATATGACCTTACATACTTATGTATATTATGCTTTTTTTTATTTATTTAACATGCACATATGTATGTATGTGCGTTTACAGCGCAGTTTCAGAATTATTTTTACATCAAGTGAAGCTAAGTTTGATAAAGATTTACTTGAAGTAAAAATCGACATCAGAAACAACTCAAATGAAGAAAGTGTTTTAAATGCTAAACTTAATATTTTACAACAACTTGATGATTTAGAAATCTCATACGGATTGGCAATGCAATTACAGACTCAAAATTACACTACAACAATAAGTCGCTCTCTACATTTGTGTAATTTTTTTAAAGATCATTCTTTAGACCCGTTTTTAAGATTCATCTATGAAGGCCTAGTAACACATGGCAATTTAATGAAGTCATGCCCAATACAGAAAGGTGTATATTTTGTTAGAGAATATAAAATTGATGAAGAATTGTTTCCAAGCTACGTTCCAGAAACAAATTTTCTGGCTACATTAGGTATTTCAAAAAGGAAAAAAACCAATTCTGTTCAAATTCTTCTAATTAAGGTAAACGTAAAAATTGATAAATCAAAAGGTTATACAAATTTAAAACTATTTACAATGGGAAAATAAATATTTATTATTTAATATTTATAAACTTACAAAAAATTAAGTTTTCCAAAGTATTCGTGTATAATAAATTTATACTTACGTTTGTACAAACATATAAGTATAAGTATATGTATGTACATATTTACTTATTTGAAATTTATAAAATATAAAAATTTACCTTAATACCTAAAGGTAATATCTAAAACTAATTGCACTATATTTGTTTCTTTTCCAACTTATAATATTATAAAACAAATTAATCTTTCAGCAAATCAGCAGAATAACCGAAACCGATAATTGTATGTTCATACGAACATGTAATTATGTCCAACGTAAGTATATACATACATACATAAATATATATTTTCAAAAATGAAAATATATACGTATGTATGTATCAAAGTACCAGTCAAAGTTAAAAGGCTTTTTCATTTCAATTTCTGAATAAATCAATGAACTTTTCCATTATTATGTATAAGAAATAGAATTTACGTGCATAATTTAAAATTGCACAAAAATCCACGTTCATTTGTCAAAGTTGCTCCACCCTGAAACAAATTAAAAAGTAAGAACAGTTTTTAAGCAACATGAGGGTTACCAAATAAGAGGCAATTTTTCGGTAAAACTTGGGTAAATATTATTTCGTGAAATCATAGAATAAAATAGCTTTTAAATTGAATTTAACCTTCGTTAATTGAAGTTTTCAAATAAAATTTTTTATATTTTATAAGAATTTCTTTTGAAAAGTTTTGAATTTTGTACATTAATTTTTTGAAGTTCAAAAATTCCTCTAAACGTAGAATTTCTGCGACGAGACATGTTCAATTAAAAATTCATATTTTTTTACAAATACGTGTTACAGAACATCTATTTTACAAATATGTGTTACAGAACATCTACTTTTCATATTCAAAAATTGAACTCATATTTTATTTTTTTCAGATGGAGTAAAACGAGTCAAAATTGAAAAATAATTATTGAACTAAAACAACGGTTTCAGTTTTTACAGTAAAAATCTAATTTTAATTTTTTAAAATGTATTAATAAATTAGGCTTTTTATATTACAATTTTATTTCTTTTTGAGTAATCATATTATATTTTCCATTTGGCAACCCTTTTTAACATAATCTCTCCTCATTCACTCCTCAATTTTTTCTTATACGAAAAATTTTCTCTGGTTTTGGTTTAGCTTTGGCTTTTCTTTGTAAGCTTAAATATTTAGTCGTAGTGTAGCTGTAGGTATCCGATTGTTTTTAAATAATGGGAAAAACTTTCACCTTTGGGAAATCATAATACATCTAGATATACAAAATATTGATAGAATTAATAATTAAGTACATACATTAAAAAATTTAGTAAAAATAAATTGAAGAAAAATTATATGTAACTGCATTACATATTTAAACAATGGAAATTCACTTAGTTAATTTTATATTCTTGAATTTTACGGTAGTAGTTCTTTTAGTTGGAGTCATAGTAAATCTAAAGGAATCATATTTGCCTCAATTTGTATCTCAAGCATTTCGTTATGGAAAACATAAGCATAAAGGAAAAACTAATACAATTATCAATTTGATGGAAATTCCAAAATCTTGCTTTAAACACTTTTATGCATTTGCTTTGTTTTGGTCACTATGGGGACTATATTTAGTTTTAAAAACCATTATTTTATCAACACCGGTTCCTGATGGCATCGTACAATTTCTTGATTTGGTAGCAGGAGGTTCATATCGCCCCATTTTGGTCAAATCCAGTTCTGCTTTAATAGCTATCGTTCTATTAAGCATTCAATGTGTTCGCAGATTTTATGAAACATGGATGATGCAAATATTTTCATCGAATGGTAAAATAAATATTTCACACTATTTTGTTGGATATCTACATTATTTTGGTGCTGTAATAGCTATTTTAGCGAACACTGAAGGTTTTGTCAAAGGTAAATTATTATTAGTCAACTAAATCGAAAAAGAAAAAAAAAATTTATTTGTATTTTTTTAAATTCACAGGATCAAAACCAAGTCCTTTCTCCTTAAATAAAGTGGAAATATATAAATTTATTTTTATTATTATCTTCCACATTGCATGGAAGCAACAGTTCAATTCCAATAAAATTTTGGTAGAAGGCAGAATGGACCAAAATGGAAAAATTTCTCAGGATCATATACTGCCTAGAGGTGGATTCTTCGATCTTATATCATCCCCCCATATGTTTTTTGAAATTGTTATCTATTTATCTATTTTTGGAATAATTCCAGAAAGCCAAACTTGGCTTTATTGTACAATTTGGGTTACTGTAAATCAAGTAATTTTTGTGATTAAATTTTAAATATTTTTATGCAAGCCTAATTTATTTTAGATCCAAAATGCATTGTTAACACACAAATGGTATTTAACAACTTTTAAAGACTATCCCAAGCAAAGAAAAGCTATTATTCCATTTATACTATGAAAAATCTATCCGGGTTTTATTGAAATTAACGTAAATAAATTGATGTTTTTATTGTTTTAGGAATAACCATTATTTTTTACGGCTGATAACCGTGATAAAAAATATGTAATTTAATATGCATATGAGTATTTAAGTATGTATGTATGTATATTGCATTATCATACACAAACTCTTATTTACATTTTACAAAACATTTTTTTAATAACAACCATAACAAATTAGTTAATAAAAATTTAAACCAAAAAATTGTCACTTTGACTTGTGATTTTCCCAAGCCTCTGCAGACTTTTTCAATTTTGATCGAATTTTATTAATAATCATCTGCCGATCCAAACCAAATATGTCATGTGTTAAAGATAAATCTTGTGGTTCTTCAAATGTATCATCGTTTTGGATGTTTTCTTTATTAATATTGTCCAACAACTCATGAATTTTCATCAAACCTTCATCCGTTTTATCTCTTACGAACTTAATATTGGGTACCTCTCCTACTACTCGCAACTGAGACAATTCATGACGTAGCATACCGGCACATTTAAGTAAAATATTATTAATCTCCGAGCAATCAACCTTTGATGTCCATAAAATGTTAAGATGGGTAAAATCTATCGACATTTTAACTCTCGTTATTTGTATTTCTAAAATAAAAAAATGCATTCAAGTTTTAGGAACAACATTCCTATTAACATTGACCTTTCCCTTGAATCAACTCAGCAATGGATCCTGTCGACATCAAGTCGGTTATATGCATCATAAAAATTTTGTTTAAAGCATTAATTCTTCTTTTGTCCCATTTCCTATCTTTCGTTTGAGTTGTTCCAGAGGATTCAAATTTCAATGCGCAATAATCTTGTTCCATATTCTTATACCACTTTTTACTACTTTTTCGTTCTCCTAAAAGTTTTTCAAACACTTTTACTTGTTTTTTTAAATTGTTACCATGTGAAGTAGCAGAAACGCTCAAAAACGATATGGGTATAAATCTTGGATTTGAGATACATAAATAAGAAAATTTTGATAAGCTCAAAATATTCATTTTAAATGTTTCCAACTAGGTAGATATTTTATTCATCGTCTTTTTAATTTTGTTTACATTTACCATGTCAAATAAAACGCCGATCAAATTCAAAATTTTTCTTAAATAGCAATCAAGTTGTAAATTTTTTTTAAAATGTCAAAAAAAAATTAAAAATTTTAATTTTTGTGTTTCCACCAGATGGATAATTTAAATAATTTAGAATAATACACTAAACCCTTCTCGAGATAAAATTAAATTTTTCGTATTTTTTTTTACAAAAAATTGTTAATTAATTATTTTGCCAAGTTGTATATATACATATATATTAAGAAAAATTCTTTGTCGTTGTCAAAAAAAAATTAAACAATATCAATCATAATTCGAGGCTAGTTTCAGTTATCTTAAAACTAGCCTTGAAGCGTATTATTTTTTAAAATTAATCGAGTTTTTTTTTAATATTATTTTTTATGACTTAGTAACGAAAATACTTTAACTATTATTACGTTTACATACATAAAGGAAGTGTTTACATACACGACGAAGTTTAAAATTAAATCTGCGAACCTGTCTGATGACTGTTTATTGATAGAAACTGTCTATCAAGAATTGCGACTCGACTTTATGTTAAAATTTAATAATATAAAAATTAGAATAAAGTACATAACATCTATTACTTTTCTTCAGACTAAGTATGATGTCAGACAGGTTTTATATATAAGACGCAGATTTAATCGTAGATTTTGTCTTACATGTAAAAAAAAAGTAAATAACATTTTCAAGACAAAACGATTTGATAGTTTTTAGTTTCGCTTGGAAATCGGGTGAATATACCTTCACGTAACAAAAAAATATTTCTGTCAGCCGTGGCATGAACACATACTGAATCGAAAGATTGATATTTTTCAATTCAGATGTGTACATACCAATAACTAATATTATATAAAATGCCAAAATTTTAATTTTTGAATTATAGGATGTCGATTTTGAAAAACATAAACCAGGCTCTACAATAGTGAATAAAGTGGTAGAAAAATATTCTCCCCTTAAAAATTTTTTTTCTATGATAAGGAAAGTAAAAAATATTTCATATTTTTGCGACGAATTAATTCATTAATTATTTTCTGCATTAAATGCTAAAAATAATCAAATTTAACGCGACTTTATAAGAAATTAGTTTCACATTAGGTACTTTTCATGAAAAGAGAAGAAAAAGACTACAAATAAGAAATGTCATTTTTTATAAACGCATTCACTTTCTTACCACCATACCGCATTAACAATAAAAAATCTACTTAAGTACTGTTCTATTCAGTGCCAGGTCTGAATTTTTTGTTGTGTCGACGTATGTATGTAAATATAAGTTTCTTTTATTAATTATGGATAGAAATGTTTTTTAAAAACCAAGAATATATGACTTGACAGCAAATAAGAAGTAATGACTAATAAAAATCAAATTGAACTAGCAAATTATATAAAAAGGTATAAATTTGGAAAAATTTAATACGGAATAATATTAAGAGAAACTATATTATTTTTAGCGTACATGAGAAACTGCGTATAGATGTTAGAAAAAGAAACGTTGATTTAGCATGGAAAGATCATTTGGAAAACTTAGAAAATTTAGAAAAATATTCTTTAGCAATGCAACAGCTGGCGCAATTATGGAAGGAAAATTCTTCCACAAAAGTTAGTGATAATTCTCCTAAAAAAGTTGCCCAATGTAGAGTACAATGGATTTCTAAAGAAATTGAAAATTATTATACGCAACACTTAATTTGCTGCAGGAGTAAAGAACTTCATCTATCTAATATTTGGTTTAATGAAAAGTTACCAAATTTTGAAGAACATGTTAAAATTGACCAAATTGAAATTCTCGATGTCGGTAGTTGTTACAATCCCCTTAGAAATTTCCCCAAATTTAAAGTAACTGCAATTGATTTGTGCCCAAATAGGGCTTTATCCGTTTTTAAAAGTGATTTTTTAAATGTAGAAATTTTGCAAGATTGTAAAATTAACTATGACATTGAAAAATATGAAATTTTAAGCCTCCCATTAAAATATTTTGATTGCGTTGTTTTTAGTTTATATCTGGAGTATTTACCAACATCTTCTCAAAGAGTAAAAAGTTGTAAGAAAGCATATGAACTTCTAAAAACCGAAGGAATTTTAGTTATTGTAACTCCAGACTCACAACATGTTGGTAAAAATGCTAAGCTAATGAAAAATTGGCGGTATACTCTTGGTGAACTTGGTTTTTTAAGAATTAAATTTGAAAAGTTAAATCATGTCACATGTATGGTGTTCAGAAAGGCAATTGATTTTGAAATTCCTAACCATTGGTCTAGATTACATAAAGAGGATTACATGACTTTCAATTTAGATATACCGCAGGATAAAAATATTTTATAAATAGACGGGTTTCAGCATATTAAACATACTGAATTTTGACTTTTGTGATTTCTAAGAATTATTAGAGAAAATCAAGTATGTAAATAAAGTAAAGTTTTTATTTAATGTTTAACACTTTTTATTGCCAAATCCAAATGCCTATGTATGTACGTAAATGTTAAGTAAAATATTTAAAAAAAGTGTTTCTAAAAATAAAATTAAAATTGATTTTTCTATTATATGACTACGAAAAATATAAAAACAATTGTATCGTGCTAAAAAAATAGGAAGTTGTATAGTCTTTCCATATGGCCACACCTACAACCAAATCTGTGACGATTATTCGCGTGCTAATCATTTTTTTCAATTTTATCTTCATTTAATTTCCAGATTCTATAGTTCAGTAAAGATGCGAAGCTTAGCCATGCAACGTACGGTAAAAATATAAGACCAGCTACATTGTTAATTTTATAAAAAAGAACCCCACAAGCAGATGCAACACTGGTTAATGCAATAATTTCCATAAATGCCTAAAAAGTTAAAAAGAATTTTATAATTTATTTAGCATCTATTATTGAAAAGTTTTACTCCTTTAATATTATGTTGTCCAAAAAATATAGGGGTCCAAGCCCAATTTAGTGCCAATTGCGCTCCGTATGTAGCTAACGGTAACATGGCCGGGCCTTTAAAACCACCGCCGTCTCGCCAGACTAAATAAGATGCGTAGCCCATTCCTTCATATTTACGTTTACTATATTAATTGCCATTTATTTCAAGTTATATATTTACCTGAATATAAAGATGTCCAAACTGGACCGAATACCCAATTTGGAGGACGGAATGCAGGAAATGTTAATTTATGATACCAGTGTTCAATATTAGCTTGAGTTAATTTTGCATTAACTATGCCGCCTATATTGGGTAAAACTACAGCTCCAATTATTTTTAAATATTCACAACCCATTTTTGCTGATGTATTTTAAAAGCTTTTAATTTTACACAATTTGAGGAATGTAAAAAAATATATCTTTACTCCTATATTATCTAAAATGAAACTGTTTACTTTTATGATTAATGCAATTTATTGCAATTTTATGTCAGATGTCTCACACTATTTCTGCGATAAGGTGGAGCCAAAATTCTTGACTGGACGTAAACAACGAAAGTTTGCTAACGTAAAAGAGAAGGCTAAAATAATGGTGAAAACAACAAAGTTTTATAAATTGATTTCTATTATTTAATTAAACAACTATTATGTTTAACTATTGTGTTTAACTATTATAATAGAAGAATATAGTAAGATTAAACTTGAAAAACTTTGAATAGGGAAAACAACGACGTAATTTCTCGCACAAAGGAAAATTATTCACATTAAAAAGAAAAATAAACCGGATGGAAAAAATTGAAAAAACTTAAAAATTTCATAAAAAGGTGCTAAATGTCAAATTTTAAAAATATTTCTTATCAAACACAAACAAATGTTTGGTTATACAAAAAGAAAATTTTGCTTTTGGTTTATAAAAGCGTTGAAATTACAAAAAATCATTTGTGAATCCATTTTGTTTTATTTTTAATTAAAAAGTTTTGAAAAAAAATTATTGTTGGTGATAATTTTTTTTTAAAAAAAAATTATCTGAAAACCATAAAAGCATATGATTTGACGAGCTTTAAGGTTTTAAAAGTGGACAAACCTTAAAACTTGAGAAAATGAAACCATCATCATTTTTCCATCACCATGCAATTCAATTTATCATTTTATCATCAACTTCAAAACCTTGAACATTTTTCACTGAGAGAAGTATTGTGGTAGGTTTCGATAGATTTCATGATTCAAATTTTTGAAAAATTAACAAATTTTTTTAAAGGTTTTGCAAACACCTTATAAAAATAAGGTGCCTTTACGCGACAAAAATTAAAATATAACTCAGTTAAATTAAAAATTAGAAACTTCGAGGCTAATTTTAAAAAAATTCAATAACAGAACAACTTAATTTTTTGACAACGTCAAAGTGTATGTTAAAATTAATACGCTTTGTCAAAAAATTAAAAAAATAATTCTTGGTTAAAAAAGACAACATTTTTTTTTAAAAGCTTATTATTTTTTTACTAAGATAACTGAATCAAAAGTTGATACAGTCTCACAGAGGACCCTAAAATAATTGTTATAATTTCTGTGGTTTTTGAACGACTTAAAGTTGTTAAAGTGAATTTGGTTAAAAAAATATTGAGTTGGAATTTAATCGACTATTTAAGTTAGTTTATACTTTCAGCGACGAAGAAGAACTACTTGCAGTTGAGGCGATTTAACGCACAAAGTTATTTTGTTTGTCAAGTCTTACATATATTTCAAATAAGTGTATCAACTCTGTAAACCCATGCTACATTGTCACAATGCATAAACCTATGTTATTTACGAATGTCGAAAGTGCTTTTGGGCTTCAAACTTTTTTTCATTCCGCAAGGTGCTTAAAAATTTTACTTCAAATGAGGTTAAAAAATTGTTGCTAGCTTATGATTCGCCATTACTACACTTCATAAAAAATTTTTATATCAGGCTCAGAGTCAGACGAACCTAAATAGGTGGAATTTATTCAAAAAAACTTGGATATAAATTCCATCAGAATAAAGAAAATTATCGATGTATTTCTTATAAAATAAAATTCTAATTGTTTGAAAAATTTAATGTACATAACAATTCTGTATATTCTATATTCTGTATAATGGAAGCATGCAAAAGTCAATCGAAATTATTTGTTTATTCATCAGTTGATTATAGGGATGAAGAAGAAAAATATGAACGTGCACACCAATATGTGCAGCAACAAATATCAGGTTTATCAGATAAAGAATTACATGATATTTTAAATCAATTAGCAAATAAGGAAAAATTTCATGAAGAAATTTGTATTGGATTGCTTTATATAATTTTAACTGATGAACAATTAGCTCCAAAAACTTATCGAGATTTAACGTTAATTAGCAGAGATGGCTTACAGCTGGTTATCAGCAATTTAAACATTTTGTTGGTGGAAAAATATTCAAAATTATCTGAAATAGGTAGACGTCAATTATTGTGGCTAGTAAGAGAACTAATAAAAAATCAAGTTCAAAATGTAGAAAATATTGTATGGAATTGCTTGAGGCAGGCTAGTGGGGGTGATATATCGCCAAGAAATTTGTATTTGGTTGAAGGGTTGTTGGATATATTTATAGAGCATCGGCAGTGGTTAGAAAAAAATTCATTTTGTGTTTGTTTGGTTGTATACACATACGTTCGTTTATTAGAAGATCATTGCAGCAACAGCCCTGCTATTGTGAATTTGAGAAATAAAGAAGTGAAATTTGTTATAAGTTTAATACGTGATCGCTTTGTTGATATCATATCGCTTGGAAGAGACTTCGTAAGACTATTACAAAATGTTTCAAGAATACCTGAATTCAGCATGTTATGGCGTGACATGTTGTCCAATCCGAAATCGTTAAGTCCAAATTTTACAGGAGTTTGGCAGCTGTTACAAATACGCACAAGCCGCAGGTATTTACAATCAAGATTAACACCGGAAGTTGAAAGGAAATTACATTTTCTTACATCAAGTGTTAAATTCGGTAACCATAAGCGATATCAAGATTGGTTTCAAGAAAAATATTTTAATACACCAGAATCACATAGTTTGCGATCAGATTTAATTAGATTTATAATAAATGTAATACATCCTACAAATGACATGTTATGCTCAGATATAATTCCGCGGTGGGCCATAATTGGTTGGTTATTAACTTCGTGTACGAATCCTGTTGCTCAATCGAATGCCAAATTAGCTTTATTCTATGATTGGTTGTTTTTCGATCCAACAAAAGATAATATTATGAATGTTGAACCCGGAATACTGGTGATGTATCACTCGATTAGAAATCATCCTTTGGTGAGTAGTACACTGTTAGACTTTCTTTGTCGGATTATAAAAAACTTTCTGCCAAAAAATGAAGATAAAATACGAGCAGGAGTTTATAATTCATTGAGGAAAATTTTGGAAAAGCAAGTTATAACAAACCTTCATCCTCTTTTTGAATCGCCGAAGTTGGATAGAGAGCTTAAAAACTTAATTAGGGACAATTTCCGTGAATTTTGTTCTATTTCCAATAATGCAACTATACTACCTAATATAGCACAACCTTCAATATTAAATGATGCCGACTTCCGAAATAATTCCTTGCATCCAAATGTGCAGCATCCTCAGCTATCACCTGAAGAAATCAAAATCTTGCAACAACAACAACAAGTTCACCCACATCATCCTCACGTATTTCCACAGCTACCACTTCAAAATCATAACAACAACATTATTGGAATTGAGCATCAAATAAGAGTAGAAATGGACACTAACGCTAACGGATCTGTAGTTGGTGTGTATTTTAAAATAATTTTTTATTTCTTTTAATTAAAGTTAAATTTAAAAATTATACATTTTTGATTTCTACTAATCTTTAATACTGTTATATCTTTTATCTTTTATAGCAAATAATGAAGGGAATTCAAATGCCTCTACAAAAGAAGAAAATGATAATGAGCCGGAAGCTGTTTTTAGTGACGAAGAAGCTGATCCAGACTTATACAATAAAAGTGAAGAACTGACTGACGATGATGACGATTTACCTCTTTCAAAAGTTCGATTAAAAGAGAAACCAACTATTGACAAAGTTGATTTGCCTTCTTCAATATCTGATTCATTTGAAAAATTTATAACAACCAAAACAACTCAAACATTTGATAGTTTTTTAAATGATTTTCGAACACTGTCGCCTTCAGCTTTAAATTCTGAACAACAATTATATGTTTACACGCAAACTGTTCAAGTACTTAAACAAACCGTACCGAAAAATAAATTCCCCGAAAGCAAGAGCGATGAAAAACTGCTTACAGAAAGTATTAATTGCCCATTGTACAGTATCTGTCGAACAATGTACCAATACGAAGATAAATTGAAAAAGTCATTTCAAAACTTTTTAACATATATTTATAAAAAAATTCCCGATCTGGGGTATATGCTTCTATACTTTCTTAAAGTGTACAGTAAACTGCAATCAAGAAAAAACACAAATCAAAGTTATTCGTATAAAAGTAGTATATACAAACTGCTGTGTGAAATCGGTAGCGATGACACAAATGATATAAATGGGAACAATAATAATGGAGAAGATGAAGATGAAGATGAAGGTGATAATGAAAAATGTACGGGAACAGAGTTGTTGGTGAAATGTTTAACAAAAGACCTTACTAATTTAGAAGCAGAAAATACGCAAATTTTTTTATGGCTAATACCTGATATTTTTCGTGAATTTAAAACAAATGTAATTAATAATAGCGAAATTATAAGAATAATCCTAAGTTGTATAGATGCGAGAAATTTACGGGATTTAGTTTATAATGTTACACAGGGTAAATTACAATTATTTAAAAATGATGGTGTTTTAGAATGCATACGAGATAGTTTAGAATATGAAACATTTGAACAATATTGTTTGTGGCAATTAGTACAAGCTCACGATGTGCCTATTGAAGTTATACAAAAATTACTGCCAGAATTAGAATCATCTAAGCATGCTGAAGCTTTAACATCAATATTATTTTTATTGAAACATGAAAAACCGACCACAGAATTAATACGTTTATTATTAAGTAGAGAGACGAGAAATCGTGGTGATTCTTTCGTAACATCGGCTTTAAGATTTTGGTGTACAGACTCTGAAGAAATTTTATCAGAAATTGTAGCTAATTTACTAATGTCAAAATATCCAAATAGTTCGCCAAATAAAAGAAAAAGGCCTGCAAAAAATCAGTCAGCCATTAACAGTACGCCATCAGCTGATCAACTATTAAATCATTTAGAACATTTTCGACGCAGTTGTCGACATGGTAATGGCACGGGTACCGGACTATATGTACAAGACCAAATGCAAACCGCTTTGCAACAAGCTTATTCACACAGCAGTGATAGCATAAAAAAACAATATAGCGATTTATTTGCTTTAGCAGCAGAAGATGAAACAAGTGGTATAAGTAGAAGAGGCGGAACAGGGCGAGGAAGGAAACAACCGAATAGCAAAAAAGATACAAATAGTTCGCATAATACCAATAAAAAAAATTTTGAAACCGTTAATAATTATTCCAGTGAGGGAGAATCCAGCGATGATGAATGGGCAAAACCAAAACAATCAAAACGAAGAAAAAAAGCTCTTAGCGATTCAGACTGATATGACACGCAACAAGGAAATTCAAAATATCAGCTACAACTTCGAAAAATTTTAATGTTGTATAATCATAAGCTTAGGATAGAATATGATCATGATTCTACTGAAGAGCAGTTTCATTATCGAATAAACAATAGCATAATGATAAGTTTGTACTAAAAAAATATTTAATGTTGAGAAAATATTCGTAAAATGTAGAAAAGTAAGTTAATTCAAATAAAAAACTAAAAATTAAAAAAAAAATGTTATATATAATGAGAAAAATACAAATAGTATGATATATTATAATTTTAAATGTGAATTTATTAAGTAATATTTTATTGCAAATAAAACTTATAATACACTGTTTCGATTATTTTATTTAAATTTCAACGAATTTAATTGAGTTAAATAAAAAATTAATCAAAAAGTTAAATAAAAAATCTACAAAGAACTTGTAAAGTTGGTAGTAACCAAATACTCGCGATTCAAAAACATTATATCAAATTTAATATGGATATCTTATAAAATAGGGCCTAGAAAATTTTATTTTATTTTTCAGGTTTTTTTTTCTAAGATTCAAATTCGTTAGTTTTGTATTTACAAAAAATTTTAAAGTTTACTAATATCTATGCGACATTACCAAAGTATAATTTTGAACTCATAATTTTGTATGCAAGTGTTTTTGGCTATAAAAAATGTTTATTAAAAGAAGGCTGTGTTCTAACTGTTTTTAAAAAATTAGTTGATCAAACGTATTTTTTCTAAAATAGCACATTTTCATTAAACTATTTAGGTCTAGAGCTTCTAGATATTTCATACATATTTTTAATTTTTATATAATTTTAGTTTTGAATAAAGGAACATTCTATTAAAATAGTAATTCTTACTACTATATAATTTTGCATAAATTTAGGAGCAATCTTAGGGTAATATAATTTTAAAAACATTTTTTACTTCGTCAAATAAATGACTATCGAGTTTAGGTTTTTTTGCTGTAGTTGTGCAGAAGTTTTATACATATTATTAAAAATTAAAATCTACCGTGTTAATGGAATTTTGAAATTTGCCGAATTTTTCCGATAGACTTCAATTAAAAATGAAAAACCTGAAATATTAAAAAAATAAAGAAAATTGCTGAACTTTTTACCAAGTTTTTTTTAGTTTTAGTTTACAATATTTGTACTAGTAAATAATATTTGCACTAATGCAAGGTATGGGGCATTTGATATTTAGAGGACCTGAAATTTTTAAAATACAATGCATAAAAAACCAGAATAAATATACAATATTTCAATGATTTATAAATTTTATATTATTTTTAATTATTGCACAAAGGCTTTACGCGCTTTCATATTAGCAAATTTAATAATTATGCCCGAATAATCTAAAAAACGTGCTATTTCATAATTAATGTTTATAGTGGCTAGTCTATTTAATCGGTCCTGACACATTGTCGCAAAAAGGGTAACTTATGCACAAATGAAAATATTCTCTGATAGTCTTTTGAATAAAGACATTTTTTCAATTGAAATATTTTATTTAAAATATTGAGTTGTTAATTTAAGGAAATAGTGAGGCCCAGGTAAAATGTCCCTTCTTTCCTCCTCCCCATCCCTTATGGGGATGGCTTGCATATATGTATATTAATTTTTGTTGTTTTTGATCTTGCTGAGCGCATAATAGAGCTTCAAATTCTTAGTAGGAAGTTTAAAATACCAAGAAACATGTACTTAGTATCCGTGACTTTCAAAACGCAGTGAAAGCGTAAAATTAACGATGTACCAATAATGTATATTAAAATCTCTTGACATTGTATTTCTCGATATTCTAAAATATGTGAAACAAAAGCGTACAATGCAGTGGTTTCAAAAGTTTTTGTAAAACTGTATTTAGACGGTATTTTAACTATATTAGAACTTCTTATACTGTGTTTTGAAATCGTGAGATATTGTGTTTTAAATTAAATATTTTAAACTAAAATATTTAAAGTATTTATGTACATATGAACATACAGATTCATATATATAATTTGAATATAATATACATAACTTAAGTTTAATAGAAGTTATACTACAAAGTAGTATAAAGCCTTAAGCTATAAATTAATAGCATACTCAGGACCGTAGGGATCAACATTGTTTTGTAACTTTTGAAATTTTATTTAAGAATTTTCATTCGAATTCTAGTATCATATGTTGAAAGCTTTGTTACCTCTTCAATTATCAAATAAAAATAAATTGAAGGAATAAGAATTAGTAAGCTTTAAAAAAAATAAATATTTTTTTTCTCGTGAAATTGTAGCCTCTAGGCTTTATTATTTATTAAAATTTAATTGAGTTATTTTTTAATTTTTTCGTGAGAGGGCTTTAAAAATATTCAAAAAATATATTATATATACGTACATATTTAAATCTCAAAAAGGTATCACACAATTGGACTAACTGTTACCACTGAGGATTGTAAATTTTTTAAATGTCATTGACAGATTAATGTCAAAACTTGCTTAAAATAAGATTTGTTTATTTACTTACATAGTAGGTATTTTGAAAAATTTCTAAATTATGGCTGGAAAAACGGAAAAGAAGGTAGGTAGTCAAATTTCTAACAGAAATTATTGCAAGAGAGTATCCCAAGAACAAAAAATTGGTAAGACCATATAAAATATAATTGCCAGTTTTATAATTCACTATTTCTTTGTATATATTGCACACTAAAAACAGCTTTGGTGGAATTTTTGGAAAAACATCGTGGTGTTATTATAAGGCAATTCATATTTCTCCTTAAATTTTCTCTATTAATTTATATGCTTATAACTTTAGCGCAGAAAATACATTATTTAACAGTGAAGCTTCAAATGAAAAATGGGAAGAAATCACCAAAACACTCAATAGATATACAGAAGGAGCATATAAAAACTCGTCACAATGGAAGCGCTGCTGGCTTGATATGAGGTATGTGATTTTGAAATAGCTAAAATATAAATGTAAATTTACTACACGTATGTATTCGTATTACTTTTGTAGAAAGCAAGTTCGTAAAAAGATTGCAAGTGTAAATTTCAAAGAAAAAAACCATCTTCTGCTCGCTAATCATGAAATAGTTACTGCTTTAGATGAAAGAATTATAAACCTTATGAGAAAACCATCTAACAAAACTAGAAACAATTTAAATGAAATATGTAATCTTAAGGATTCTGTTATTTGCGATTCTATTAAAAGGGAGAGCAGTGAGGATGAAGAAAAAACATGTGTAATAATCTCTGAACTATTTAGAATTTTCAATTTTAAAAGGTTTTTTTTTAGCACTCTGTTTCAACTTTGAGTGACGCTATATCAGATAAGAGTGAACTCTATTTTAGTGACATTAAAAAAGAAAAAGATGAACAAGTATTTTACAAAGAATTTCCGAACAGCCAATCGGAGAAAACAAGGCGCAATAAAAGACTTGCAGGTAAAATATCTGCCAGCGTGAATGAAGAAGATCAAGATTTTTTGAAAATGAGATTAGCTATTGAAAAAGATAGGGTACGAGCTCTAACGGATATTTCGTGTTCAATTCGCTATCTTGCTGATGTTATTCAGTCGGTCATGACAAGTGATAAAGTTCGAAATAGTTAATAAAAGATAATCTTCTCATAATATCTTATTTCTGTATCTTATTTTTGTTTTTATGTGCAAATATCTATTTAATCAGTAAAATAAAACAATTTAAAATCCCTCAAAAAGTCAAGCCGTTATGAAACTAAGCTCAAGTCTGCACATATGTATGTACATACTATGTATTTTCTATGAAGAGGAATTGTTTTTGATCAATAAAAAAGTCTTTGCTATATGTGTAAACAGTACCTTAAATAAAATCTAATGTTGACCATCTACTACTCAACTTGGTCCTTCAGCACTTTGATCAACATAGCCACTCATACTTCAACATTAATGCAATTTTTTCAAAACTGCAGATGTAGTTTTATCCAACATACATTTACTTCGATTATATGCCGGATCGAATATTTGAACTTGACTTGAAATTTCAATTTGCGTATATCCTGTACAGATTGAAATAATATTACTTGAAACTGACTTGAATTTAACAAGTATTACATGTACATTAATTTGCCAGTTTGCGGATCTTAGAGCTCATATAAACGTCACTTGACTTGAAATTTTCAGTTGACTTAAAAATTAACTAAATAAAATACGCGCATTGAAAGACCCAAGATGACAAATTAAATAATACAGGCTAATACCAAACTCAAGTGGATTTTAAGAAATATTACTTTAACCTCTATAATATACATTGCAAATTGAAATTCCAAGTCCAGATCTCGATCTGCCTTATGAATGAGAGGCATGTCAACTGGAAATCTCGAAAAGGGCTATTAAATTTCAAGTTAACTAAACAAAATTTTTTGATTAACTGGAGTGAAGCTGGCTCAAAGTCAGGTAAGATTATATGGACATAAAATAGGCTTTAAATACGTTTTAAGCTGCCATAAAAACTCCCATGGATTCGAGTACTTTATGTCAATTTTAGAGGATATGTATTAAATATTTACTCTATGCTTAGGATAATATGAAAAATAAAAAAAATTAGCTGATCTGTGCAAAAAATTTTGTTAAATCTAATTTCCATCATATTGTTTTCAAAAATCTGGCAGAAAATCAAATGATAAACGGATAACCATCAAAAATCTTTAACGAAAAATCTTAGTTTTTGACAACACTGAACTGTTTTCCCACTCGTTCAAAGCCCACAATATATGTTCGTGTATATGTGAACATGTATAAAATTGTAAACAATAAATTAGGGGGTTTTTTGAAAATTTAATTTTTATTGGTAGATTTGTAAAATCATTTGTAGAAGAAGTTTCTAACTTTCTATGGAAAAGATGAGATTAGTTGAAGTTTCAGGAGACTTATTTAGTTGTTCTACAGATTTTTCATTAGCACACTGCGTCGCAGGTAAGAAAATTAAAATTTCAGTAATTTTTTGAAAAAATGAATAATAATTTTAATATGAAAAACATTTTTTTTTAAAGCCGACTTAAGAATGGGTAAAGGAATAGCAATTAAATTTCGTGATTCTTTTGGTCAAGTTGGGGAATTGAAAAGGCAAAATGTGCAGCCAGGCGGCGTAGCAGTAATCAAAGACAAAAACTCAGATCGATACATATATTATTTAGTGACAAAAACTTTAAGTTATCAAAAACCTACTTACGGTTCTTTGGCTAGTTCACTTTTGTCGATGAAGAATCATATGATATCTAACAATGTTGATAAACTAGCTATGCCAAGGATTGGTTGTGGTTTGGATGGTTTAACTTGGAATAAAGTAAAAGAAATTATTAATGAAACATTTCAAAATGAGAATGTTGAAATTGTAATATATAATTTTGTACCAAAATAAAGATTTAACAATTAATAATTTGGCTAAATACTTCATCCAATTCAGATCACACTAATAATTATGTTCTTTAAGAATTATTTATTGAGATAATAGGATACGGTTCGAAAGTATGTAGACGTTGAGTTTTTCAGCACCAGAATTTTAAATTTCGAATTGTTTCGAAAATTTTCATTAGTGTCATTACTTTGAGATAAGCGTGTGCAATTTAATGTTAATTTATTAAATATGTATACGGTTAATCATTACATTGATGTTTGTACATACATATTAAATTTAAAGATGTTCATATACATATGTTATAATTTCACAAAAATTAGAAACTTATATTTAGGATTAAAATGTTTGTGTATGTATATGGTAATGAAATTACATCTTAAGCATAAGTATTTTAAGTGCCCGGCTAGCTCAGTCGGTAGAGCATGAGACTCTTAATCTCAGGGTCGTGGGTTCGAGCCCCACGTTGGGCGAATAAATTTTTTTTTTGTTACGACTAATTTTTTACATCGATTTTTTTTTTTGTTCCTTGAAATATAAAACAGCTTATATACGAAGTACTTACATAAAAATAAAAACTACAAATTGAAAATTAAAACTTTATTTTTATTAAAAAATTTTTGTGTAAAAACTAACTCTAATATTTGTGTAGTACGTTATTAATTATACTTTTCCTTTGAACTTGTGATATTTTTCGAAATCTTTTACCAAGTTTTCATAAACATGTCTAGTAGCGTCATTAGTGCAACGTAATATGAAGGGTCCAACACGATGATCACAAATTTTGATTAATATATAACAAATACTTTCTATATGAGTTTTAATTTCAGTATATAGCGTAGTTGTCCTCTTGTCCGTTACCATTAAACCAATTATAAATGTTAATATATACGGGGCTAAGCGTTTCAAATTTAATTCATGCTTTGCGAGTAAATGCATTATGCTAAAAATTAATATAATATGAAATTATTTATTATAAAATTTTTAAGTTTACAATTTACTTTTGCAGTTTCGCTCCCATTTCTGATAAACTTTGAATATCTTCCTTATTTAGTAATATATCTTTATGTCGATCAGATTTATACCAACATAAAGATTGCAATAAATCTTGATATATAATTATAAATTGAGGCATACGATCTGTAATTATTTCGTGCCTTGATTTGATTAATATAATACAAAGATTTGTCATTTCATTATGTAACTCTTTAAATAAATTTTCATTATTGTCAGTTAACACAAATTTCTTAATATTTATATCAATTAGAAATGATAAAATATTATCTATGTGATCTAATGACAAAAGTATTTCTCGATTTGTACTTAATGATGACATTGTGTTTAATAGCATTATTACAACATTGTAATTCAAGAATTGGTCATTCAAATCTTTTTCTAATTTTAAAATTATTTCTAGGCTAATTTTTTTAAAGTATTCGTTCAAAATCTAAAAAAACAAAATTAAATAAGAATTTTATTAAAGAATAGTTATTAAATCTATTATGACTTACAGCACATTTTATTTTATCTAATTGTAGCTTTGAAAGTTGCTGAATAATTCGACAAATATAACCAGTATTATCTTTAGTAGTTTCCTGAAACATAAAAGTTAAATATTTGTAGTTAACATTGGCAAAAACAATCCATTAACATTTGTGTTTTATATTAATTAATAAATACTAACACAATATCCTAATGGATATTTATTTATAACTTACATTTTCTATTTCGTACAAGAAATTTCTAAAGTCACTTTTGCTGCTGTTATCAACAATTAATTTTATAATTTCACTGTAATGTTTTTCTTTATAAATATTTTCTTCCAAATTGCAATGGTTCAATTCGTTAGTTCTCAGCTCGAGTTTAATGTGCTGCCAGTACTTCTGCAAAATCAATTGCACTTCATCAGGGTCGAAATGTAACAGTTCACGATTGTTCAAAGCTATTGTTGTAAGACGCACGGAATATTCATTTGAATATTTGACCTATTAATGCACGATAAATAACTATACATACATGTGGAGTAACAAAATAATTAAATATTAAGTTGTGCTTACCGAATAACCAAGATAGATTTTACAAAATTTGCGAAAGTCATCAGTGATTTCAAATTCGTTGTTTTTATTTCGCAATATAGCGTAATTCAAATAAATTGGATATATCTCAAAAGTTTTGTCAATAAAATTATTTTCTTCATTATTGAAAGATTCAAACTCTTTTGCGCTACTGAAGAAAACATTTTCAAACTCCCTCAAAAGTTCTTTTAGAATAATCTTAAATTTTTTATTATCAATTTTTGATATAATCTTAATTAAATTGAAAAGCAATTCGTTTTGATTATTTGGAGAATTTTCTTTTTCCTTCAAATAGGTTGGAACGTTCGATAAATATTTTTGTATGTCTTCTATTTTATTTTCTCTTAAATTTTGAAATAATAAATCGTAAAATTTGGTTGACGCTGACGTAGGTAAAACTTCCATGAAATTTTCAAATGGAATTAAATCGCAAATCTTAATGAAAGGTTTGAAGTGCAATAAACGTTCTAATATGTTATAAGCATTTTCAATTAGTTGGTTGTTAGATATGTTTAAAAGGTCTCGATACAAAGCAAAATGTAAAATAAAAATCTCCGTTTTAAAATCTTCCTTGCATGAAGCTACATTAAATAAATTTAAAATGTTTAAATTTCTTTGAATTTTAGAAATTTCTACATTTTTAATTGTTCCTTTTTGATTATTTTGTATTTTTTGGCATATTAATTTAACTTTATCAGCTAGTGGCAATGATTTATATTTATTAAAATCAATGCTATGAAGTACAGATTTTTTTGATTCAATTATTTTGCCAAGTTTTTCATAACACGTTGTAATGATTATCTTAAAGCAATCATAATTTTGCATTAATATTTTTGAAAATTCATAAATAACGTCATTTTCAAAATCATCTTGGAATATTATATTACATATTAAATTCTTTTCACTTTCAGACATATACCGCGTCATCCATATATTATTTTCGTCGATGAACAATTTTATTATTTGATTTGGATCTTGAAAATTTGAAGGTAAGATGCTCTTTATATTAAATTTTGAAGTAATGTTATTTTGCAATAGGATTTTCCCTTTTAGTTTTTGTAAAAGCAAAATGTTGCTATTGTGTTTAGCATTACTATCGCCAAAATTAGCTATTCGTTGTTCAATTAGTATCCATTCGTCATTTGATAAAAAGTCATATCCAGTTTTTGTTAAATTTATTTCCTTATTTTCATTTTGGCTTGGATAATAATAGGTAATAAAAAAAAACATTCCAAATGTTTTTACAATTTGTAAAAACGAATTTACAATCCGGTTATTATGCTCAATATTTAATAAGAAGTTTCCAAAATTTTTCAAAATTTTTTTGGTTAATTTTATGTTGTTTTCAATTTCAAATGAATATATATCGTAATGTTCTATTATTTTAGATCCAGTAAAATATTGCGACAATAAAGCTGAAGAGAAATCCAAACTGAATAAAATTGTTTCATTTGGTTCTGATTTAAAACAATGGTCACTTATATTCTTAATAACATTTTCTAAATTATATAAAGCTGTTTTCCAAATTATCAGAGAAGGCTTCGATACCAAAGAAGATATAAACTTTGCAAATTCCCTTCCAGTTATTGTATTCCAAGCAAAAGCGATTTCTTTAAAACTTTCATGATGATTCATATATATCTCAGTTGAGTTTTGATAAGTTACTTCTAAACTTTTAATGATAATATTAAAATAAAATTCGTCATCACTTGCAAAATCACTTAAATTTAATTTAGGTTTTTTGCGCGGAGACTCCTCCGATTCCAGATTTTTCCGTTTTTGTTTTAAAATATGATTTTGTTTTAAATGTTCTTCCAACGCTTTCAATAAATTTGCAACATACTTTTCTGGGCGATTTAATTTTCTGAACATTTCAAATAAAATTTTCATAAAATAATCATACATTTGTTGTTCTTGCAGATTTGTCTTTGGACTTGTAATTATTTTTGCTGCTAATTCGAAAATCGAATATTCCAATATTAGGGGGTTTAATTCTATAGTGCAGGTTAATAGCCACATCACTTCTTTGATGTTTTGATTCACATAAACTTTAACAATATTTTGAATTTGGTTTTCCATGTATTTTACGGGTCCTTCTGGAGGCATTTCAAATTTTAAATTAACTTCGTGTTTTCTTAAAAGTTTTAAAACAACAATTATGATCTACAAGTAAATTAAATATAAATAAAAAAAAACACAAAATATAAAATTTGTGGGTGAGTACCTGTAATTTAAGCTTTGAATTAGTAAACCTTTGGGCAAAGTCAAAACTACTTTTTATAAATTTTTTATAAAATATATTATGGCCTCTAAAGTTGATCAAGGCGCATTCCATATTTACAAAATGAGCGTGAATAGGAAGATGTGAGCTAAATTTAAGGATGCGTTTTTCATATTTAGTAAACAATACTTTTTCGATTTCCACTATATCGTCAAAACATGGTAATTTTTCTTTTACTGATATCATGAGTTCTATTAATTTTTTTAAAGTAACTGTCATGAATTGCGCACCAAATTTGTCAATACTGCCTTGAGGAATTCCTTTAATATATTCTTTGATGTTTAGAATGATTTTATTAAAAAACTCTCTTTCATGAAGAAAGGCGAAATTTTCCTTGTTTATTATTAAATATTGCTCATAACGATGTAAAATACACTTCTGCAATAAACAAAATTTTTCATATCTGTTTTCATCAATATTTTGAAAGATTTCATGTTTAGATATCGAAAACAAAATTTCCACGAATTTCCTTGTTTTAAATTTTTTTTTTGGATTTTGAGCAAAACAGAGAACCTTATCTAAAAATTGTGAACAGGCTGCATGGGTTATTAAACTAATTGGATATTTCAGTTCCAAAAGTTTTGTTAAAGTTCCAAATTCTTCTTTTTCACTAACACTTTCCGTCAATATTTCACTGCTTTTAGATGAAATCCATTCGAGAACCGTATTGTATTTAGATGAGAGGACAAAATCAACTGATCTGATAGCTTTAATCCCAAAGTTTAAGTTTTCTAATACTGTGTGATTTTCTCTGTTTAGCCATTTCAACAGTTCTGCATATTAAAAGTTAATCAAGTTTTACTCTTAGAAAATAAATATTATACCTTTTTCTGATGTAGTCTTCATACCCCTTTAGTCTTTTTTATTTATTTTAGAAAAAAATGTGTATTTTTTATAAACAAAAAATAATGTGTGCATGTGCTCAAATGTCAATTCCATGTAGTACAGTGTGAAGGTATGTATGCATTTGTGTGATGTGAAATATCATTTACTGCTTAATGTAGACAATGTAAAAATTATAGGCTGGACACAAAGAGAGACTGAAAGTTTATCAAGAGTAAAAAATAGCGAATTTATACGTGTTAAATAGCGAAAATTAATACAATAAAGATATGTACATAATCTATATAAAGTGTGTGCTATATTTTTCCTGAAAGTGAAATAACGCATCTACTATAATTTCCCTTTCTTAAAATAATCAAAAATCCCTTCACAAAAACATATTAGATTTTAAATCGTCATCTTAGTAAAAAATAATAAGCTTGTTTCTTGAGCATGTTTTTTTCATCGAATATGATTAGCTAATTTTTTGACAAGCTGCATTAATTTTAACAAATTCCTAAAACTCAGTTGTTTTTTATTTAAGTTATTTTAAAACAATCTTCGTGGCTTATAATTTATTAAACCAAGCCATTTTTAATTTTTACTAAGATAATTGAGCTAAAATGCTATTCGGTCTACGAAGGAAAAATTTTTTGAAAAGCATTAAATAAATACAACGATTAAATAAATGAAAAAAATATTTGTCACATTGAAGTAGTCCTATTTTCTTCCGATTTCGCACTATTGTGATTCAGCGAAAAATAATTGGTTGACGTCACTTATAGCGATAATAATTAAATGATGTTATGTTACATTTTATGTCATAATTTGAAGAAACGTCATGTACTGTCACCAAGGAGCAAAAACGTCAGAATAACATACATATGTAATTAAAATTTCAAACAATTGATTCTTCATATGAAGTTATTCTTAAAAAAATATTTCATTATAACATTTTATTACACAAAATATAAATGTGCATTTTAAAAATCTAAAAAATGTAAAATGATTAAAAATCAAAATAAATTTAATAAAAATGCAAAAAAATTAAGTGATGCACAACTGGTTGAAACTTTACGTAGAAAAAAAATTTGCAATGAACGTGCTCAAAAAATTGTTGAAGAATTTATCGAAAGAAATATTGAAGAAAAGGATTTTCTATTAAAAATTAATTTCATTACACAATCCCATTACGATGATATTGTAGAAGAGCGTTCAATATTAAAAATATGCGGATACCCACTGTGTGATAAGGACTTGACAGATGTTCCAACTCAAAAGTATGTTATTTCGACGATAACTAATAAAGTTTACGACATTACCGAAAAGAAAAAGTATTGTACAGGAAATTGTTATAAGGCTTCCATCTACATAAAAGAGCAAATTTTAACTAGTCCTTTATGGTTGCGAAAAGATAATGATTTAACCGAATTTCAGCTGTTTAATTCTGAAGGTATTAGCTAAAAAAATTAGGATTTAATAGTTAGTTCAAGTGTTAATTAAGTATATTTATGTAAAGTTTTTATTTAGCGGTTTTAATTTTGACAAAAACTAAACCGATAAAAAATATATTGTAGAACATTATACACTATTTATGTATATTCTATAATTAAGTTTTAAAATATTGAATAAAAAAATTAGATAAAATTAATAATATTAATATATTTTGAATTTTACTACCATATTACGCTACAACTTGTTTAGAAATACAGAAACAAAAATAACTAAGGCTCTATTAACGTATGAGTTATTTGTTTGTCCAAATTATGGTATAAGATTTAAGAGATTTACTAGGTCAAAATTTAAGTAAATATTGGTCAACTGAATAAAATAAGGGGATAAATTTACATAGATTTCTTCTAGGCTCGTTCACGAGTAAAAGTATGCTAATGTATAAGTCTAACGTGTAATTGAATCGAAACATAATTTTGGAAGCCAGATTATCAGACCTTGGTTTTTGGAAATATACATAAATATGCGTATGTACATATGTATATATAGCTGTGATGATTGAGTTTTCGAAAATCTTTATATAGCTAATAACTGTCTTTAATAATTAGTTTGATTAAAAGTAGGTATTTTTTATTTTAAGGTTTGTCTTAAAAAAAAGTATCCACATCTTACTACGTTAGCATAATGATTGAGACGAAATTAACAAAATATCGAGCAATCGATAATTATGTCTCCATTTTTAATTTAAAATTTTGGGTAGAATTTGCGCTAATTGTTGAACTGTAAAAAATACCTTATTCATCATTTCTTCTATTGCTATCGTAGAATCTCTCACATACTTACATTGTACATGTAACCTCTAAAAATGGATAGATTTCCCAGAAAGCAATAATTTTTTTTTTTAAATAAAAACAACACTTTTAATATTATTTAACCTATTTTAATGTTATTAAAAAAAAATAAAATGATATAAATAAATAAATTATTAAAAATTTAAATAAAAAAAAACAATATTCAGAGTGTTATTTTCTTAAAATCAGTTTCAGTTTTGTTTTTTAAAAATTATCAGTTTAATATTAAAAGAAAATTTTAAAATCAATTACAAATACAATATATTTCAGTATGCTTTAATATTGAACATGCCTATAAATATATTAACAAAATTATATAATGTACACATATATTTGATTTTTTAAAATGTTCAATAACCTTTATATACATGAACGTTAAATAAAAAATATTTTATATTATTAAATTTACTACTAATATAAAAATAATTTGAGATTAATATACGGTAATGTAAATCAATTAATCTTAGAAATTTTAAAATCAATTTAATAAGCTCTAAAAAGTTTAAAATAAAGTACCTATTACGGCAGAAATATACCTTCAATATTCAAGACATAGTTCAATATATTGCGCCTATAGTGAGCTTTATTCACACCAATTAAAGTCAATTTCGAAATATTGAAAATATTTTTAATCTTAATATAGTCAATGTACGTATTATATTTCACTTGGGTTTTGAACTTAATTTAAGCAAAAGACAAATTAATATGTGCGTATTGTATATAAAGAAAATTTTTGATATTTTTGAACTGGAAATTTAACAAATTCAAATATTTTTTTAAAACAGAATAGTAGTTAAATCATATGAAGTAAGATAGAGCGAATACATATGCTCATACGTACATATATTTACCATACAATATTATTACAAAAATATAGTTATAAATTTGTATTCAAAAATAATGTAAATATTTCCTGTTTACTTTTTTTTGTAGTTATTAGTATTCTTATTTTATTAGATTAGCCAAAGTTGTAAAAAACAAGAAAAGTTTAAACTATAATTTATTATTTGAATAGTTTTGTTTGTATGTGCAGCACATGGAACTGACAACCCTAAAAATTCCTTCTTTTCATAGGAACATAAGGAATTTTTGAGGTTTGAATGATATTTGTTCAATTAAGTGGAACATAATTAAGTTATGAACATTGAAATTGTGCTAATTTTGTTAAATATGAACATTTTGTGCTAAATTTAGTTGTTTTTATAATTAAATATTCAATAAGATTATAAGAAATAATTGGAAAAATAAAAACTCAGTTCAAATTGTTCATATTTAATTAAAAATATTAAATCAATAATCGACTCTTGTATATTGTATATTCCTACAAAATTTTTTTTTCTTGTTGTACACAATTTTGTATTACATAAACGCGTAAGGTCAAATAAAATGCACATTTTTGATTAAATGATCATTACAGGAAATAGTTTTCAATATTTCTTTTATAAGTTAACAATTTTGTTAATTAATTGTTAATTTCATTTTATATTAATATTTATTCATATATGTATATAAAGTAAAATCATTATTTTTTTAATTTTCAGTTTTATTTTAATATATAGAGTTTAATAGAGCATTTTAAAATATTTTTAAAATCAAGACATTTTATAAATTTATAACGAAATATTTGCACAATATTTGTTTCTTTTTTATTAATAATAATAATTATAATTAAATGTTTAATAATTATTTGCATACATAATATTATATAATGTATGTAAGATTTTTTAGTACTTAATTCTAATTTAAATATTTTATTTTAAATTACATACATTATTTGTATATTCTATATTTGAAATAGTTTTATTTTCATATTATAAAAATAAATGAAGTTGATTGATAAAATTCATTTATAATATTATTATACATTTATATTTATTTCTTATAGAAATATTTTATTTTTCTAAAAGGTACATTACACATATTTTAAGAATTTAATATGCAAAGATTTTATACAATATATTATAATCTTTTGATTATATTGTATTAAAGACCCTATATGATTTAAATAAATCTCATTTTGGTCGTAATTTAATTTTACAAAATTCTATTTAGTATATATTTTATGTAAATTATTTATAATAACTTTTAGTATATAATAACATCTTAACTTATTGACATCTAAATTAAATGAAAACTTTGGTTTTTTGTTCTTTTTTTTTTTTTTGTTTGTTATTGTGTTTTGTTTTTTTTTTTGTTTTATATTCTATATAGTAACATAAAATGTTGCTTATCAGTTTATATACATACATAAAAATGTTTAAAAATCTACAAATAATTGTGCTTCACTTCGATCTAATGCTCTAGCTGGTTTCCAATCAGTTTCTGGATATTCATCGAAATTACTGGTATCTCCATCGAATGAAACTTGAGGTACAATTGGGGGCTAAAATTTTATGAATTAACAATTAACATTTTGCTTATTAATTAAAATGATAATAATACACTTACAGTGATTTTTTTATTTAAAACATCATTCCAATTTAAATGTTTAAACCATCTATGTCGTTTAACGTCATCAGCACCATTCTATTAAAAAATAAAAAAAAAATAATCATTTAAATTCATAATTAACAATAAATAAATGTTTTTTTTTAATATTTAATTCGAGAATAAAAAATTACCTTCATATTTCCCATACGTTTTGTTCTATCCAAGACTAATAATTTTTTAATTAAATCTTTAGCTACACCATCCATATGTCTTGGCCATTCTATTTTACCACTTAAAATTTTTTCATAAATACCAAATGGATTATCATCGTAGAATGGTGGATATCCAACTAACATTTCATATATTAAAATGCCTATAAAAGAATAGAAATAACATTTTTATTAAAAAAAATAAATAAAATTAACTGACAATATATGTATGTACTATATTATATAAAATAAGAAAAAAAAATTTTTGTAAAAGTTTTATATGTATACCTAATGCCCACCAATCAACAGCACGATTATGTCCTTTTGATTGAATTATTTCTGGTGCTAAATATTCTGGTGTACCACATAGTGTCCATGTTCTATCTTTTAATTTTTTAGCAAAACCAAAATCTGTTATTTTTAAATGGCCATCACGATTAATTAATAGATTTTCTGGTTTTAAATCACGATATACAACTGATAATGAATGTAAATATTCTAAAGCTAAAACTATTTCACTGGCATAAAAATTTGCTACAAAAAAAAATAGAGAATTTAGAAAAACGGTGAAAATATAAATTATATAAATTACTTATTTATATTTACATATATAATTAATTGTATTATAAATTGTTCAATATTTTATATTTCCAATCCTGGAAGCAAATATAATTTTTCATGTATAAAGCTTGACTTTCAAAATGCGCGTTACTATAAATGCAATCGATAATGTAAAATGTGCGATGAATTACTTTGAATTTTAATCGATAATGCAGTTAACAAAAGCATTGTAATTATTAATATTAATTGTTAACAGTTTCTAGACACAGTTGTGTAACCGATAATGCAAAAAACAAACGTCGCATAATTAACAATGTAAGTTTTTGGCATTTTTGTAATAAAATTGAAAATTTTGAAGAGGATAAGTTAATTTTATTTAATGAAATAACATTTAAGTAAAATATCAAATTTAAATTATCAAAAAATAAATTATTGTTGAAGCAGAGTTGTCAAACGGTTTTATGTAAAAATTTTTTTTAGCATAAATAATTGTTGATTGCCGGTTGGTGACTGTCAGATACAATATTGTTGCCGAACGACATTTTCGATTTTATCGATTACATCTTAAATTTCAATGAATGCGCATGTATTCAGTAATTTACACTTAATGAATTGCATATTAAATTTAAAACAAAATATAATATATATATATAATTTACCAGTTTGACTATTAAAACGTCCTGAATTTCTTAAATATGAGAAAAGTTCACCACCGCTTACATACTCAAATAACATGTATAAACAACAATCATCTTTTGTTGACCATAATCTGAAATAATAAAATTAATATGTTAAGATTTTCGGAACAAAAAAAAAAATTGTTTAAAATTTTAAAATATAATAAATATTTAGATTATATGAATACAGAAAAGTAAAAGTAATTTATAATAAACCAGGAAAATCATTTGATTTATTAAAAAAAAAAAAAAAAACTAAAAAGAAAACAAACTCCCACATTGCTAACTAAAAATTATTTATAGGAAAACAAAAAAAAATAATAATAACAATTGTGTAAAATGAAATGAAAATGACAAATTTTGTAAGTTCTTTAAGAGTTCAAAAAGATAAAAAATATTTTGACAATAATGTCAAAATTATCTAGTTTTAAGAGATTATTAAATGAAATTTTATTTTTATTTTTCTCAACGTTTAATAAAGTGCAAATATTTTAATTTGCAAATGATTTTAATAATTTTCAGATGAAATTGTATAAATTTATTTCGAAATTAAATTATTTTAATAGCATTTTAAATTTAATTCTAAAATAGAACATTCAAATATTTTGAAACATAGGTACACACCGCTCGTTTCTTACAATGCTGACATAACTCAAAATTTGCACATTTCAGAAAATCTATACTTTATATCAAGTATTTCAGTTAATTAATATGTTCTTTGGGTTCTAGCATTATTTTATAATTTTACTAAAGTGACAATTTTCAAGGCAAAGAATTATAATTTTTGCATAAAAAAGAAATGTTTTAAGGTTCTTTAAATTTCTGTATGAATAACAGATAAACCATATTTTTTGAGTTGTGTCACTGTTGACACAAATGAGCGTTATTTAGCTATATTATTGAAAAAAATAAGCACTTTGAATTAAGCCTAGATATATGCAATTCGTGCTAATACAATATATCATTTATATGTAGTGCACGGAATAAAATTGAAAATGTTTAAAAAAGTGGTAAAAAAATATTTCAAATTTTTAGCAAAACAAATATTTACATTAAATTTTTTTTTTATATTTCATATTTGTTTACGTAAAAACAAATCAAACAAAAAAAAAAAAACATTTTTTTTTTCAATAAAAATATTAAAATAAACTTTTTTTTTTTCAATACTTACAAATTAACAATAAATGGATGATTTATTTCTTCTAAAATACTTTTTTCATTTTTTACGTGTTCAACCTGTTTTAAGCGTATGACATCAGTCATAGCTAAAATTTTCATTGCACTGTATGTGTCATTGATTTTGTCTTTGCAAAGACAAACTCGACCAAATGTTCCAGTACCTAAAAATAAAAGAAAAAAAAGAGATATCGGTTAAAAATATAGAAATATAAACATTCGCTTGATAAAATTATTTGTATTTGAAAATTTTGGACTTAAAAAATTGAAAATTTAAAAATATTATAAACTTTTGTCAACTATCTAGTTAGTATATACCTGTACATATACATAAATTGATAAAAATGCATTAATTTGAAAAATATATTAAGAAATTGGCTTATTTATGTACGACGAATTTCGGTAGTATTTACGGCGAATTGATTTGTTCGAAAAATTTTTCTTTCAATGACAGCATTTTATAAAGTTGAGTAAATTATCGTATTGTAAAGTCACATCATATTTTTATCTGCCAAATATTTTGTCGAATTCGTATAAAGAAATCTAACAGAAATCTTCATACATAGATTAACCAAACCGTTATATTTGCCAAAATATTTCGATTTCGCCATAGAAGGTAATATCTTGATTGACATACAGTTTCAGGGGTACGAATGACTTTAAAGTCATTATGTCAATAAATTAAGTTATTTACTATTTAAGGTGAAAACAAAACAATAGCGATTTCAAGAGAATGCGCATATATAAAAGTGACTGCTTAGAATGAAGTGAAATTATCCTAGCGAACTGCTTTAAACTTAACCGACTCATATTTTATCGCCGTTTTTTTAGCTTGATTAAATGGAATAAATGATTAAACATATTGAGCAGTTCAGTAATTTTTCAGTTCTGCTGCCGTTATGCGTTAACATCGAAAATCGCCCAAAGTTGCAATTCACCGCTTTGTTACATGATATTATGTGCTATATCTACTTTTAAGAGCAAAATTATGCCTTAAACTTAATATATGAACATTAATATTAATCCTTTATTAAAAACAAAACTGACAGGTTAACTGCAGAAAAATTAAAAAATTAATTTGAGAGGGTTAAAATAAAATTTATTTTAATTTAGTCTTTACGAAAATTGTATCAATTTTTTCAAGTCAAAGTTTTTTTTTTTTGCTAAATTTTTATTTTTTTACTTTACATTTCACGAGCTAAATCAAAACAAAGAAAAATTGAAAATGCAGGAAACGTTTCTTGTTCTATAATTTTTTTGTTTCTTTTTTTTTTTTGGTTCACTCTTTTCAGTTCTTCCTGTGATTCGCATTCATACAATGTACGTACGTACATGTATGAAATTTTCACTCATTCATTCATTGGAATGAAAAATCATTGGAGAAAAACTATAAGAAGTAGGTAAAAAGATTTATGAAAAATTAAAAAAAAAAAAAAATACTGACATAATTCCTTTTGTTTTTCAACAATTTTAAAATTTAAAAGAAAAATAAAAGTATTTTTAAGAAAATTTATTACATTTTTAAATTAATTTTCAATTTTCATTAAATTTTATTGAAAATATTTGTTTCTTTTATTGTTATACTACTTTTATTTTAAGTATATACAAAGAATTGATCATTGAAATATTAAATATGTAATATTTAAAATTTTATTTGGATTCATGGATTTTGCATTCATTATAAATCGGTTAAAGTATTTCAATATTTTTTTTTAAATTTATGGATTAAATATTTTTTATTTTTATAATAAATAATGTCTGTTTTTTTTTTTTAAAAAAAAACCATCTTGTAAAAAATGTAAACCAAATATACATTTAAAGCATATTAAAAAAAAATGTTTATTTTTTCGCCATAAAAATTCTACACTCTGTTCACATTCGAATTTTTTTGGTACTCGTATACTCCAAAAACTATAATTGAAATGATAATTCTAAGTTTTTTAAATTTTAGTACGGAACTGATTGGTTTATTCAGCAAATACATACATACACATATATAATGTTCAATATTGCCAAAAGTTTCTAACAATAATTTAACAATTTCTATTAGAACATCTTAAGGCTGAGATAGATACGCAAATTTTAGTTTTGCAAATGTTTGATTGCTTATTTGTATTCTATAGGTTTAATTCAAGCGCAAACACATGGTCGCATGGAATTAAACAATCAAACAGTTTGTAATTTTTTGCAAGCTGATTGCAATTTCTTTTTGTTTAACGCATTTGATTTGAATAGACGTAATATTTTAGTTGGTTTACAATCAAGCAGCGATTGCAAAACTAACTTGCGTCCTTATAGGGTTGTGTTCCGAAATTCAAATTTTTAGTTTAATTAAAGTTTGATTGCAAATTAATTGTGTGTACACTTAAGCAACTAAATTATTTGAAATTACTAAATTGTTATCGGTTAGTAAAAAATTCGAAAATGTTTGATTACAAACCTATTGAATACAAATAAGCAATCAAACAGTTGCAAAAATAAAAATTGCATGTCCACGTAAGCCTTTAGCTTTAAATATGAACTTCAGTAGCATATATGCATATATACATATGTGTGTACATATATATGAATATTATTTTATATCTTAATTTGCTAATATTCGAACGCATACATATATGTATGTACATACACATGTATACATGTATACATATGTACACATGTGTATGTACATACATACAGAATATAGTGCTTGATATTTCTATTGTTTTTCTTTTGTTGACATTTCAAAATACATAATTAAATTTAGAATATTGCGGAAACAAAATTATTTATTGTCTTGGTCATAAAAATAGAGTAATAATTTCTATTATTATTATACTAAAGGTTATTGTATTTATATGACAAAATTTTGTTTTAATTATATACGGTAGCACAGTTGAATTATATACCGTAGCATTATTTTCAATATGCACAGAATTTAATTTGAATATTTCTGAGAAGTTTTTTGCTAATAGCTATATGTAACATTTCCAAATTGTTTTGAAGAATGTAAAGTAATTGGACACATAGTCGAATGTAGGGTTATAGCGTCTACTTGACTTATTTAACAATACAATTACGTGTTTATGCTCATAAATTATGATTACTTCATGTTAATACATACGCGTTGGAAGAGCTTTATAAGAGAAATTGCCTAATTGTGGACGTCTTAATAACTTCAATGCATAATATTTATTTATATTTTTGATATATTAAGTCAGACTCAGGAACTGTAAGTAAGGCCTAGTAAGAAGAATTATATTAATAACAATCACAATTTAAGCAATATTATGTATTAGAATTTTGAAAATTTATTCTTTAATTTTTAGCCGAAATAGGCTTTTATTTTTGATATTTAGAATGTGCATATCTAAAGTGTAATTTTAGCAATATACAGAGTCTATATCGTAGTCGAACAAATCAATGTTTATGTTGTTCTTGAAATAAATTCAAATTCAGGCAGAACTTTTGAACAAACTGGTTTGCAACGCTGAATGTTCTAAAATTATGAGGCACAATAGAATTTTAAAATTAGCAGCAATTTAAATCTATATTAGAACTGAATTTTCATAACACCCTACATTATGTACCGTAGATACATATAAAGAACATTTAATAATATTTTATATATATATCATTTTTTTTCATTTTGAAGGTACATAAAATTTTGTTTCTCAAATTTTTTTTTTTGAAGTTTTAAAACATAATACAGAAGAAGAATAAAAATTACATGAAATTTGTGAACGCAATATTTGGATTTTTGCCATATTAAATTTTGATTTGATAAGTTTTATATATACATATGTATGTACATACATATGTCAAAGTAATAAATATGAAAAAAACATCCTTTTATTTTTAACTTCTAAGTTTTTTATCTATAGTTTGATTTTTTTATCTTTGTCTCTTATTTTTATATAAATTTCACATTTCTGTGGTTTTCTGCCATTTCTATACTATTTATTTGTATATATATGTATTATGTATATTCATGTACAATTTAAGTAAGTATGAATATAAAATCTTTATTTGAAACATTAAAAAAACAAATTTTCGGCTCTTGTTTTATGTGTATTTAAAGTTCATTTCCCTATATAATATTATATGAAAAGAGTAGCATCACCTACAATAACACTACATATTTTCTGATATATATATAAATAGATATCCTCAAGTATACACACATAAGTACATATATATATGTATATATAGGTATTTATGTATGTAAAAAATTTTCTTTTAAAAAACTTTTCTAGAATAAACTTTTACACTATATTTTCGTATACATACATAAGTATATAGGAGAGTTCATTAATCGTCCGAATACTATTCATATAATTTGAATATAATATAGTGTATATTACGAGTATCTTCTAGTATACGATGTTTATAATAATAGAATATAAGCTATAAAATTTGGTAATATTATTATTGTATAAAATTATAGTTTATTATTTTTTTTATTATCATTAAAAATTTTGTATAGTACGAGTAGTTGGAGACAGTTGTGCTCCAAATTTTATATATATTTTTTGTTTCATATATAAGATATGAGTTTTCGCAAATAGTATATTAAAAATAAAATATATATACTTATTATCAACATAAAATTCAAATTTATGTATTATGTTTGTATGTATGAACAGATCTTATTTCAAATATATTATTTGGACTGTGACAATATAGTAATAATAATTTTCTCTATAAAATCTATAAATTTTAAAATAAGTAGTATATGAAAATTTTATCTTTTCCTTATAATTGTTGTCTATTTATTTATAAAAAAAATGTTTTCTTGGCGAATATTAAATTGGATCAAAAGTTGAAAATTTTTCTAATATATTATGATTTGGAATTTTACGGGAATATTATAGTAAATTGTAATACAATAGGTTTTTTTTCGATTCGTTTGCCAAATTTATTTACTTATAGGTGTATAACAGCGACTTATATATATACGTGGTATATAATGTGTATAAGGCCGTATGCTGTTATATAAATATAAAGTGCTCATATAGACAAAATTTTTCTATTAATAAAAAATTGAAAGTTTAATTTGTTGATCTACTTACTAAGCGTAAATATCTTGAATGTAGGTATGAAAATCTTTAATGTCTCATTTGTAAACAGGGGATTAACTTTCGAAATTGATTTTAAAATTAAAATTTTAAATAAAAATACAAAT